GGAATGCCGCAGTTACTGGTTTAACATTGTGTTCAAATTCCTATAACATACTCAATACCTAACTGGACACTGGCTGTCCTACAGTTTCTTAATATTTTAAACTATGCATATAATGCATAAATTTTAAGTATCTAAATTTTATGTTGATGTATGCATACTTGTAAAATAAATAATTTCTGTTACATTGAATAAGCATGCCCTATTTTCTTACACTTTTTATGGAGGTATGCCTCAGAGGCACATTAGTGAAATTCGTTTTATCCCCAAAATGACTAAGTTGAAGTACAGCGACTGTATAATGCATTCATCCCTTCTCCTGTGTTTGTACATAATATAGTTGTTAATGTACATTTGTATATGAAATACAAGTTCAGTGTCTCATCATCCTAGGATTTGTGCTGTCCTATATAGCAAAGAGTATTTTTATCTCACAATAGGTTATAAATTTGCTTTTGCCTGTGCCAAGAACAGGAATAGTTGTTTATTGTCTGGGCGGGTGAGAGCTGCACTAGCCCGTGGGTAGGGACATTCGTGTTTGCAAAGGTGAGGGGAACAAACAGTGCCAACTCTTCCTGAAGAAAGAAAGGTGAGGCTTTGGAAGTGAATAAACGCCAAAGATTGATCTGGACTGTAAGAAGAAAAGGACTCTTAAAGCCAAGTGCTGGTTACATACAGATTGAGGGGAAAAGAAGTGTAGAACTAATAGACTAGATATATGCAAGTGTGGTTATCTTAATTTCTGCACATATGGATTTGTAAACCTTTGTTTTCTCTTGTTCATTTTCTCAATGAAGAAATATTTTCACTTGCCTGGACCTTTATATGACATGAATTAAGGGAAATTTCAAGATAACTGTCTAACACCTTCCTATCCAGCTGTGTACAGATCTTTAAAAATAGAGTGCTGGAATACCTGACTGTTTACAGCACTCATGCCCTTTAGAATCATACAATACATCTGATTGGAAAGGATTTTGGGAAGTCATCTAGTCCAGCCTTCTCCAGGTGGGGTCAACACTGAATTCAGACCAGATTGCTCAGAATATGCATTGCTTTGGAGTATCCAGAAGGAAATAAAGCGTTTCTCCATTGAGGTATTCTTTCCAGTTTGAAAGCCAGCAAAAAGAGATTGTCTTTGCCAGCAGGCAGAGCTATGTGGAGTATAGCAAATCCCCAAGGCTTCCCGGGAGCCTGTAACATACGACTTTAAGTCTTGTTTTTTCCAACAGTTGTTATGGAGACCCTCTTGTTGAAAAAGCACACCCTCATCCTCAATATGGTTACATACCACTTCAGCAGTCTTGCGTGTTCCATGCTTTTCAGAACCTGTAATTGTGTTCATAATGTATCTACTTCCACGGTTTTGTTTCCTTTTGCTTGGTGACATTGGAAATTGAAATAGATATTTTAAATAATAAAATTAAAATTAGAGTTTTCCTTAATATGTTCTTACAGAAATAAGAATGGAGCTTTTAAAAAAAGTCAAAGAATATGCTAAAGAACATTATGGTGCTGCTTTCAATTAAACCAGCATAAGCAATATATGTCTATTTACTGCAAATTCCTGCAAACTAAGTTTACAAGCATGAGAAATTGACAGGAAACCGCCCAAATTATGCCTTTTGTTGTGTTTAATATGGAGCTTATTTCTGACAAAGTTTTAAAATGTCAGCCTTTGTATTTTAAGGCAACAGTTCAGTAATGGCTCGTGACCACAGACAGCAGTTTCCCTGCAGCAGATGGAATCCTGTTTTGAAATGGGGTGTTCTCATTCCAGCACAATACTTGGCTCAGTATACTCTGCTGAGCAGAATCTTAATTCTGTTTATAAATTTCTTTGAGATTAAACACAGTGAAGAAGAAGAGCATATTTAAAAAAAAAAAAATATTTAAAAATTGTTATAGCCTAGAATTAATATTTGAGATTTCATATTTTATTTTCATGACGGTATATATAATTGACAATGAAAAAATTATTGGTGTAGTCTGAGTAAGTAACATTCTGACACATTCAAAAGTCACAGATGACTCATGCAGAAGGATTTGATATCATTTTAATATTACTGCCAGCATGTAGCTATCTTAGGGGCTCAACATGGCGTTAGGATGTCGTAATAGTTTAGTAGTAATCTTGAAGTTTAATTCGTTTTTGGAATAAGATGAGAGATATTACAGAGTCCTTTACCTATAATCGTCTCTAAAAGTTCAAATATTTATTTGTAACTTCATATTTTACAATCATCATTTCCCAGTAAACACTACATTTCAAATACACTATTAAGCTATTTTTTTCTACTTATTTTGTATTGGAAGAGAAAATAGAAGGCGAAATTAAAGTCACTTTTCTTTCCTTGCCTACTGGGATGTAGAAAGGTATTACAGCAAAGTATACAGAGTACAGTAAGCCAACTAGCAAGATAGGTAAGATCACAGTATCAGTTCTCTACTCTTATGTTTGTAGACCTTTTATTGTTTTCTTTTGTTAAATTGGGGTAGCCCATGGTAGTACTTTTAATGCAATAACAGTATGCAACACCAAAAGATACAATTTTAATTAGCTGAATAGGTGAGATTTAATAAGCGTTCAGCAGTCAGGTTGTCTTACCATTCTTAGTGGTACATAAATAAGTACGTTTATGTACTTAAAGTCCTTAAAGTACCAAGGGTTTTTTTCCCTACTGCATTTTTACAAGATGACTGTTGAAAAATCATTGTAAAGACAGTTGGGTTTATTTGTCCTGTTCACACTGCCATTCCTTACCTTCCTTCTATTATGTAGGAATCTATGATTCTATGAATTCTCTGATCTTCTAAATCTTGCCGTCCTTCTAGTGTATTAAATATCTTGTGAAAATAGCATCTTTGACAGCTTTGCTCCTTTCTTCCTTCTTTTTTTATTTTTGGTTGCTGCTATTTTGCCTTTGCCATCTTCCAGCCCCGTTACGTGATTTGTTTTCTTCAACTTGATTCATTCATGGCCTGAGGGAGTTAAACTGAGAATAGATTGTGAAGAGAGGGTTTGAAGCAGAAAGTGTTTGAATATTTTGCTGCTAAGATATGTCAAATATCTAGATAAGAGATATATTTTTTCCCCTTCTTCATCTGATAATCTTTATCTGACCATACTTTTCAGCTGTTAGAAAGTACACCCTCTCTTTGCACACTGCTATCAAATGACTTGGCTGAAATCCTAGAGAAACTGGACAGAGCGCAAAGAGCAAAACATCATGAAGAGCAACTTATGCTGTATTGCTTAAAGTGAGAACAGCCTTCAGGCCCCCAAAATCATTCTAAAGCTTTATTTTGGAAATTAAAAAAATTTTTGGTTTTTTCCTTTAGTTTTAGTGTCATCAGAAAGGATCAGTATCACTTAATTTTTCAAAACAGTAACTTAATTAGGATCACTTGTTACCATATTATGATTTCTTTCACTGAAATTTTCATTCATGCTTCATTCTTGATGCAGATGGTAATATTTTAGAAATATGTTTTAATCTTCAGGGTGCTATGTAAAGCCCAATAATTAATTGCTGACAGTTACTGTATTGTGCTATTTAACAATACTTTTCATTTAATGGCCTCACTGTAAATGTATATTGAAAGAGTTCATCTTTATCTGTATGTGATAGTGCAGTCCGCATAAATATGATGTGACATAATTTCCCCATAGTCTTGATATTGTATTGGTATCTCCAAGGAATGTCTTGTAATTTCATTCTATTTCATCTTGGCATTATAATGCTGTCTGTTTTAACTAAAATAATTGTTGAAGTGTGACAGCTAAATTCCATTTAAATGAAAGTAGATTAGCATAGTTAAAAAAAGAACTTCTTTTTACTCCACAGATGATGAACATTCAGTAAACTGAAATGAAATTAGAAAATGTGTTACACATATAATAGTGTAAACTGTGTCTCAATGTCTAGCTTATGAGCAACAAAAGAACAACTATCTACATTCAAGGTTAAGTCCATCAGAGCATTTGAAATCATAGAAAAATTATATACTTTTTAATTTATTTACTACAGAGTGGTTTTGTTTAATCCATAAAGAAAACCACTCTGTACATGCATCCATAATTTGCTATTACAGAATTTGCTGCATAATTTTGTTCTTAATCCTGAATTCAATGTGAAAAATATTTTATTTTAAAGAAAAAGATACTTGCTTTTATGCTTGAGACTTAAAATTGTCTGGTCGTGAAGAATAATGGGTTTAAGAAATAGGTTGGGCTTAAAAATTATATTGGGTATTCTAGCCAAGCATCAAGCAATGTCTTTAAAAGAGATATGAAAGAATCCAATTCCTCTTAGAAAGAGGATAAGTGTAAAACTAAAATAAACATTAAAATAATGAAAAAGGAAAAAAGGAAAATAAATGTAAAAGCCAAATCATACTTATTTTTAAAAAATAACATTTTCTTCTTTGCTGGTTGTTGCAATAGAGAGGCCTCATTCCAAGTGAAGTTTTTATCTGCATATACTATTTATAAGCAAAAAAAAAAAAAAACAACAAAACAAAACAAAACCCCAAAAAATCTGTAGTATAAAATATTTTAACTAAATTTGTTTCTGCTTATTTTTTCTTTTTCATATTTAAGCTAAAATGTGAAAATTTTAGTAATATAGAATTCTTCAGACTAATGAACTGAGACTTTAATTACATCAGTAACTCAATTGTTGATTAGGTTAGGTTAAATATTTAAAGATTTTTTTAGTATCTTTACATGGTAATGGATTTTACTTGATTTTTCTTGGTTCAGTGAAAATGGTGCTTCAAATTTGAAGTGTTTTTTAATCAGAATCTGACTAATTAATATGATAGAGACAGAAATTGTGTGAAATGAAATTTTAGCTGAATCTTAACAACGTGAGTGGCATAAATGTTATTCAATGTTGGAATGTGTTTCAGTGTAGAATTCAATGATTTATCCTGTTTCAGTATGGAGAGTAAATGCCAACTTTTATTTTATCTTAGGAGCTAAAAGAAAAGCAGGATTCTAGTCTTAAACGTGACATTGATGGAATGGGAGTCCCAGAAATAAAGTACGGTGATTCAATCTGTTTTGTTCAACATGTGGCCAGTGCCTTATGGTTGACTTACAAAGCACAAGATGCTAAATCAGCACGTTTAGCTCCCTTGAAAAGAAAGGTAATTTTTGTTGGGTTTTTTTAATTACTTGGGAAATAAATGTTTATTGCATAACAGTTTTGATCTGTCCTGTATTTTACCATTCTACCAATGTGGCAATTGTGGGTTTAATTGTTTTGTGCCATTTTATTGAAAATGGTGTGAATGTTTCACTGTAAAAATGAAAACAATGGTGAATACTAACATAACTACATAACTGAAGAAAAACTTTGCTGTTAAGAAATGTATTTAGCTATTTTTCTTCCTAGAAGAAATTATTAATTTAGGCTCAATATTTATTTTGTTCACTTCAGTAAACTATGGAAATTCTTGATTTGGATGGTCAAATCACTTTTTTGAACATCTACTTTTAAAGGTTTAATGGTGTATACTTGTAAGTCATCTTACATTCACTGTTGGGTTAGATATTTTTATTGAGTATATTGTATGAAATGGCAATTAAATACATGACTTCAGAAATAACCCTAGAAACTGCTCAAGTTTCTTAAGGGATATCAGTGAACAATTTCCTGCCAAAATGTTAGGTGTAATTGTGATGTGGCATCAAGATCTTTCCCTTGGCCTTTTGATTATAGAGTATGGGTATACTCTTAATTAGGGGTATATGACCTGTTATCTCTTCAAATTATATTTACATTTCATTCAGAATTAAGAGATTTAGTTCTAGCTTTGTAGTAGTTCTAGCAGAACTACATCATTACAAAATGATTCTTTGATTCTATATTCATAGACTTTTTACAACTTGAACCTATAATTAGAACATGAAAAAGAAAAAAGTTCATTACTGATTAGAAGTTGGAATTCTTCTTTAATTACTTGTATGTATGTATGTATATTGACAAGAGGATACCTGTACACAAGCACTATAATACAAAAAATGAGGTACTCAGCAGCACCCTTGGCATAATCTCTATTTATGCAGCACACATGGTCATAGACAGGCAGTGAGAGCCCATCCCCTTCACATCTACTCAGTAACCTGGCTGATCAGAGAAATTCTTAACTGTGTGCCAGTCATTCAGTATTTTCTTGGTAAGAGATTTAATCATACAATGATCTCTTCCTTTCCCATGGCAGTATTGGCTATGGGATTCTGTTTCCTCAGAGGGTCCAATTTTAGTTCTTGAAAAGAAAACATGTAGATTCCTCCTTTGTGTGCAGTGAAGAAGTTTGCAATCGCTTCTTGTGAAGTTTAGTAACTTTTTTCCTCAATTTTTCTGCTCAGCAGCAAAGGACTGAAAGAACCTCCATAACTGCCTGTCGCTTTTATTCTCCTTTCAAACTGTTTCATCCATGTTCAAAGACACCAAATCTTTTGTTGCCCTCTCACCTGGAGAATTCTCTCCTGTTAAGTGCCTTCAAACAAAAGAAAACCCAAACCTTCTTGCTTCCTGTAATTGATATTCCTGTGGAGGCAAGAAACATTTTTTTGTCCCCTGCAAAATATGGTACTAGTCTATAATTTTGTAAGCAAGTTTAGATATATACATCCCTTTAAATTTCATATCAAATTATTTTTCTACAGTAAAAGTGAACTCATAGCTTTGTATGCATCCTCCACCATCATTTTGTCATGAGATTTTCAGTCACTGTAATCCTTCCCAAGCTGACCTGTATTTTTTGTAACACACCTCAGTAGCCCTGGGAGGATTGAGAAATACCTTATTTTTGCAAGAGGCAAAGGAGGTATTTTGTTCCCATAACCTAGCTATTATCCCTGATACCTGCTGCAAATCTAAAGACAAGAAAACAACTATGGGGTTAGTTCTGTTATAAAATGCTCAAAATGCCAAGTAAAAATTTCTGTTGTTTGGCTTTGATGTAGTTTCATGTATCTAGTTACCATGCTGTCTTTGCTAGACACAAATATGTAAGAAATTCTGGCATCATTAATGGGGCTTCTGTTGAATGATTTCTGCCAGAATGTTGATCTGTTGTATCTCTCTCTCTCTCTGAGATCTTGGTTACCAAAGTTCAAGACTTTGCCAAACATGTAGCATATATTCCTCTGTTCTCTGAGCTCCAGCATTCAGGAGCTCTGCAAGAGTTCATATCCCCAGAGCTATTCAAGCACAGAAGCAAAGTCTCAAACTGAAAAGATAGGCATCCATCAGAGAACAGAGGAATATATGCTACATGTTTGGCATTCATGTCCTGGACCATTACTCAGGGTATTGGTCAATACCAGTGCCCTGCTGTACTTCAGCAACCAAGGCAGTGCCAAATGCCCTTTTTCTGCATAAATGGTTTCTCTGAGGAACTGAAGTAGGCAGTGCTGGGTGCTTCTGGCCATGATCTACTTAGTGGAGTTCTAAATAGCACTTTCCTGTCACTGTGACGTTTCTGGATTATTTAGTTGAGGAGGTTTTTTGGTCAGAGAAATAAGGAAGAATAGATCCTTCTAAAAGACTTCTCCTCTCTTCCCTGATCTACTGCATACTTAGGGAGTAGAGTGCGTATCTGCTACACAATGGTGAAGGTACAATTACTTTGCAAGGCCTGGCAGCTTTAATACCCTGTTTGTCAAACATTTTATTTCCTGTACCATTCCTTCAGCTCCAAAATCTGGACCTACATGCAATGGCCTGAGGAAACATTCCTGATTGATTGTTAAATGTTTTCTTGTTAGTTTTGTGATGGGAAGAGCAGTTCTTTATTTCTTGTTCAGTTAAGAGATACCAGGACCTTTCTTTAAGGAAACAGTGATATTTCAGCTAACACAGTTGCTCACAGTGTGGCTCTGTATAAAGAAGTACTTGAACAAAGAGAAAAGATGACCAATATGTAAACAAGTCTCCTTTGAGACAATATTATCAATATACTGATTCAAAAGTGTCTTCCTAGTCTTCTCCGTCCCATATCTATGGATTCTGGGGTCCAGATAAACTCATAGAGTGTTGTGTCCCTCTTTTAAAAGCACTTCCACAGCATCTTGGAAGGAGCAGAGCACACATGTACTTTGGATCCTGCCGTGTATAAAACCCCATCACTTTCCAATGCTTTGGTATACCTATATGCCAGTATGTACAAAAAGCTGTTGGTAAACAACTTTCCCATTTGTGGCAGTAGCCACTTGTATAACATTATTCTTTTCTTTGTTAACTGTTCAGTGCCTACAGAATTACTCAGCTAAGTGGGAAGTCAGATAGAATTTTTTTTACTATGTCAGAGCTAAACCAATACATTTTTCAGTGGAGAATTCAATAGGTTACATCTTAGGCAAGGCAGCAGGATAACTCACATTTAATTCTTACACACGTGCTGCAGGTTTTTAATGACTCAAAATGATCAAGACTTGGTTTTGTGATACCTAAAAATTATGCTGGTTTTTTGTGAAATTGGGTATTTATTTAAAGGGAAAATTAATAAGCCACCAAAGGATTTCTGTTACTCCTTGAAATTCCTATGATGTTTGCATCTGGTTCTGATAAGAATCCAAACTAATGTGTAGAGAATAATTAAATGAATCAGAAGTTACTCATAAATGTTGTTGCTCCTTTAGCCCCATTGTAACTTTTATGATGTTTTTCATTCCAGCTTGATTTTCTTGTCAGTAGTCTTTTTATGTATGAATCCCTTAGTAAATGATGCTTAAGATAGTGAAGATCATCTTTCCCTGACAGCCAGAATGTAGAAAGAATGACATTTTTTGTTTCAGTTGGAAAATATTTGATAAGCATATAGGTTTAATGAATTGCAGGAGAATAAGCATACTTTAAAATGTTTTCTCTGAATAACTTCTATGTGAAACTGACAAATTTGTAATTAATTAATAACAGGTGTTCAAATAAAGTGATTAACAAGTAGTAGCTCGGTATATATGCAATTACTGGTTTTAGTGCAATATTGAAATGTTACAAAATATTTAAAATAACAAAGGTTTTTTAAGTAACTGTTGTGATAATTACTGACTTTCAATAGGTTATATTACACCAAGAAGGCCATATGGATGATGGTCTAACTTTACAAAGATGTCAGCACGAGGAATCCCAGGCTGCTCGAATCATTCGCAATACTACAAGCTTATTCAGCCAGTTTACAAGGTAGTTGTTACCATCTTATATACAATAAATTCTTGCTTGTTTTTTAAAGTATTCTGAAATGATAAGAATTTCTCTAACAAAATCCTTCTTTCCTGTTTTCAGGTATTTGTATTTAGAAGCTATACATTTTTACTGACTTAAGTGTGTCATTTTGATGAGTTATGCTCTTAAATAGATAAAACAGCATATTTAAGATTATTTACATGAAATCTAATACCTTGAAGCCAGAAGCAAACCGAATCATAATCCAGGTTGAAGGAAGCATGCTAATTATCTCAATGTAACTCCATTATTAAGCATTCTACAGTAGCTAGATCTTCATAATATCCATAAAAGGGTTCTTATTTTTCTATTTTTCTCGGTAGACCAAATATTATAGTTAACTCTATTCAAATTTGTCAAACTAATTGAAACCATAGCAGCCCCAAGTCCATGCAATTAAACAATAGAAGGAAGTACAAAATAGATCTCTGCATGCCTGGGAGGAGAATATCAATTTCTTGCCTTCAAAATCTAGACTTCAGTATTTTACCTGTACTTTTTTAATCATCCATCCTGTTGATCCTCCTACTTCTCTGTCACCCCGTCTGATCATATCTGGAAGATTTAAAGATCAGAGGAATTGTATGCAGTATGATAGTGGGGTGATTGACACACCTGGGGGATGGGATGCCATTCAGAGGGACCTGGACACTTGAGAAGTGGACCCATGTGAACCCCATGAGGTTCTGACTATTATTCAGGTTATCTGATCTAAATCTACCCTCTTTCAGTTTAAAGCAATTACCCCTTGTCCTGTCACCACGTGCCCTTGTAAATAGTCCCCCTCCAGCTTTCTTGTAGGCCTCCTTTAGGTACTTTAGGAGAGCTGTTCCAGCCCTCTGATCATCTCCGTGGCCCTCCTTTGGACGCGCTCCTCTCCTGTGAAGACAGACTGAGAGAATTTGGGTTGTTCAGCCTGGAGAAGAGAGGGCTCTAAGACCTTATTGCAGCCTTTCAGTACTTAAAGGGGGCTTATAAGAAAGATGGGGACCAAGTTTTGAATAGGGCTTGTAGCAATAGGACAAGAGGTAAGGGTTTTAAACTAAAAGAGGGTAGATTCAGACTAGATATAAAGAAGAAATTGTTCACGATGAGGATTTTAACCTGAGGGAACAGGTTGCCCAGAAAAGTGGTACATGTCCCATCCCTGGAAACATTCAAGGTCAGGTTGGATGGGGCTCTGAGCAACCTGATCTAGTTGAAGGTGTCCCTGTTTATTGCAGGGAAGTTGGATAGATGTCCTTTAAATGTCCCTTGAAACCCAAACCAATGTATGATTCTATGATAACAGATTAGATGCAGTAACAACAATTAGGGCAGAAGGCTAACTGTCAGCTGAGAAGGTAAAAGGAAGAACTTTTTAACTTCTTTCTCTCAGCTAAAATATTATGTGAGCATTCCTAAATCTTCTGTTTAAACCAACACATTTATTCACAGTGGAATAGACTTATGGGTATTCAAAGTCGGCATCTCAGCAGAGAGATGGTGACTATATCTGATTTTAAGGAATAACTCAAGTTGTGTTTCTAAGACTTTAGAATGGAATCAATAGAATTATCTTCTGAATAGTATGTATCTTCCAAATCTTTGCTGTACTAGAGGGCAATGCAGTTATTATCATTCAGTAAGCAGTATCTGGGATTGGGCTGTTGCACTAACTGTGTAATAGAATTCAAAAAACTAATGTGGAAACAGTCATGGCTATTTCCACAGATCAAAACACCAAAGCCCTTGGACACTTGGTCACTGTGAAACATACAATTTATGAGTACCCTAAGCATGGAGTCAATACTACAAAGGGCATTAGAAAATCAGGTAAATTAAGCAATTTAATATGACATCAGACTTGCTCTGTCACAATCTTGATTTATCAAGAAGATTATATGAAGAGTTGTACTTGGTAAGTAATTGCCTAATATCCTTGCCACACGTACGACAACATAATTCCTTTCTTTTCATGGAAAAATACAGTTGGCCAATAGCAAAACAAATTTCTTGGACATGAATATCATTTAAAGGGGTTTATCTAAATTTGTATTTTGCTGACTGAAGACCCTTTGCATCCTCAGGAGATGTTGAATCTTAATGAACCATTGACAAAATGAACATGAAAAGATACTGTATTTATCACATTTCATCCCTAGCTTGGTTTTCTGGATTCAAGCCTGTATTTAAGCAGTATTATTTATGAAGTAGATTTTCTGAATCAAAATTTGACTTGCTTTCACCTTATTTATGCACTCACTTCAGCTTGTATTTTTCAAATCTTCTTGAAGTCTATGTTGTGCTTAAGAAGGTTTGTTCTACTGCTGTGTATCATCTGGCTTATCAATTTGTACAAAACTGTTCAGAATGTTTTCTGCCACTTATTAGCTCAGCTTAATTTTGAAAGACCTTAATTACCAAGAAGTTTGAAACTTTACATGGAAATAGTTCTAAACTGAATGTTCTGATAAGGATTTTAGTATTTGGATAGTGAGGGGAAGTATCGTGAAAACTGCCTTACACATGTGGTTATATTTCACTTTTTGAATAATACCTTTAGCTATGTTAGTTTGAAAATATGGGACATTCTGAAGCATAATTCTATAATATTAGCTTAATTTTATTATGCTGTTTCCTTTGTTACTTTTGTTCCCCTTCCCTTGTCCTGTTCTTTAGAGTAAATTGTTCATGACATTTCTCTTACATTAGGGAACTTACAGGTTAATAGCTGTTTAACAAGCAGCAAGACAAAGATCTTCAATGAAAGTTTCATGCTTCCTTCACTCTAGCTCTTCCATATGATATGTTTTTGTCTGATGATTTTTAGGGTAAAATAAAATTCTGTGTCAATGCATATTTATTTATAATTACTGAGATCAACTTATAAGAATACACAATAAAATCAGTAAGAATTTATGTAGTACTGAAGAAACTATTTTTTCACAGTGCTTGGCAGAAATTTTAATTATGATGATCAAGTGATCATCCTCGTTTTCCTGCCTAATAGATTTAAAAAAAAAAAAAAGTTTATAATTAAGAATTTGCTTCCATAGAGCCCTCCATATGAGACTGTGTTTAAAACATTACTTCTCCAGTATCACAAGTGACTACGCTACTCGTCTGCACATCCTGTGCTGAGGTTATAAAAGCAGACCCACCTCTGCCAGCAATCAGCTCCTCCTAGATTATACTATTTATAATAGTAAATCTGAAAAATTGGGTTGTTGCCCAAGATTGAGCAAATGGTTGAACAAGAAAGAGACATTATTTTACTGACAGCTGAGATTCCTTGAAATGCCTTATATTTTTAAAGCCCCCTTTTCTTTTATTTCCTATATAGAGTTGATACAGAAGGCCTAATTAATGGTTAGGATTACCTGTTATTTTTGTATTCTTTGTCTAGAAGACTGGGGGTGTACAGCCTCAATAACTACTACTATTTTAGACCATCTGCACATTACATATGTATCATCAATAAGATTTAAAGTATCTGAAAAAAATCAGTTACTGTAAGAAAGGACTTGAGTATATCTTTCATCTCTGTTTCATCTTTTTGCCGACTTACATTGTTTCTTCTGCTCATTTTTTCATTTGTGGCTTTTTTTAATCTTTCTCTCTCTTTACGTCAGTACAGAAAGGGAAACAATTTCACTTCAGGAAGCTCTGAGCATTGAACACCAAACCAACAGAGGTTTGAATGATTTGCAATTCAGATTAGCTGCTGCTCATACACATGTCATATGTATAACAAGACTTGATTTAGATACCAACAGAAAATGGGCTGCTACAAAATACTGTAAATCAACGTGCGAAAATGAATAATGCTGCCAGTCTTTCTCATTGTTTTCCTTAGTGGAAACAACAGAACACTGTCACCTGCTGCCCTGCCTATTGAGGAGATGGCTCAGACTCTGCAAGATCTGATTACTTACTTCCAGCTTCCCGAAGAAGACCTGGAACACGAAGATAAGCAAAGCAAGCTTCGGTCACTCAAAAACAGACAAAATCTATTCAAAGAAGAGGTACAGAGAGAGGAATTGTTGCATTATTTGAATTTTAAGTGTATTGTGTCACAAGCATTGAGAAGAACCTAAACATTATGATCTATATGCATGTATATGATTTATAACATAAAGTTCCGTAACTGATACATATAAAATGGACTGTAATGCCATGTGGTAACTTGCTGTTACATATTTTTCATTTCCACAGTTGTCACAGGCCACAAGGTCTCTCTCATAAAATTCGCTGTTCATACTTCTGAGCATCTTTAAACAGATGTCATTTTTAAAAGAAACAATTGTGACAAGAAATTTCTTTTTCTCTCTATGAAGTTATACATTCTGGATACCCCAAATAAATAATAAAAATAGGATCAATGATAGATGTTATTTCTGATGTCTTGTCTATCCACCAGGGTGTGAAACAGCAACTTTTTATCTCTAAAAACTGGAAAAGTGCTAGTTTTAGAGAATAATAAACATTACATAGTTGTAGAATTGCTCCTTTCTGAAAATGGAGTAATTACACTTCTGTATATATAGGAAATATATGTTACAATTTTTTTACATATGTTTGGATTGCTTGCAGGTTTTCAATGCCATTTTAGTCTCCAATCAAACTGAAGTTAAATATCTATTCTAGTATTTGAATTTGTTTGTTTTGTAGATATTTTATTGCATAGTAAGATTTCCACCTTTTTTAATCAATAAAAATTCCTTTCTATGTAAGTTACAAGTGGTTTGTTTGGTTTTGGGTTTTGGGTTTTTGGGGGTTTTTTTAATGTAAGGAAGATTCTACGTAAAAAAGAGTCTATTCAGAAAAATTGTAAAAGCCTTTATTGTCAGCTTTGTTTATTCCTTACCATTTGTAATACTTGGCTAAGTAAGGAACAGTATAGAATCATTCTCTAAAATGGATGATTTTGATATAGAAAAATACATATTCAAATCTTTTAAGCATAATAGTTTGTTGTTTGTTTTGGTGTTTATTTTTTTTTTTAATCTAAGATGATGCAACTTTTAAATGTGTACAGGAAAAAATCCTTTAAAAGGACAACAACAAATTTTTTTTTTTGTTTTCTGTCATATGTGTTTAGGGAATGCTGGCACTAGTTTTGAATTGCATTGATCGCTTAAATGACTACAACAGCGCAGCTCATTTTGCAGGAATTGCAAGAGAAGACCATGGTACAGCATGGAAACAAATTTTGAATCTCCTTTACAAATTGTTAGGTAAGTTCTTCAATAATCAACTAATGTAAAAAAACCAGGATATGTATTCTTAATATTCTGTTTGCTGTTTCACCACTAAAGATGACTACTTTGTGTGTTATTTATTCTATCATGTAAATTATAGAATTTCTTCCATATACTTACTGATATTTATTTCAGAGAACAGAGCAATGATGCAGCAGAAAAGTAAATCTCAGCTAGGAAAAAAAACCCAAAAAACTAGTGCAGCATGCCAAATGCTTATTATTATCATTATTTAAGTGTACCTGTGGTATGTAAATAGATGTGAATTATTATTTTAAAAATCAGAAAAAACAGAAAGCAGTCTTTATATATGAAGCTGAAGAGAAGCCTAAAAGTAATATTCAGCACTTGCAGATCTACTGAATCCATGTTTTTCCCTTGAGGCTTAGACTTAAATGTTAATAAAAATAATTACATAAATCAGAAATTTTTTTTTTTTTTCAATTTCAATGCCATGCTTTCTGGAGTGAACTGCTCTTGTGTTGTAGTAGGGCCAAAATTACATAGTATAGTAGGAGAAGTATGTATATATGTATTTCTTTAAATCACTAATTTGATATCTAATTTGTATAATTCCTCATATAGGAGAATTTTGTCTTCTGATGGAGTTTAAATACTTAGTAAAACACGCAAGTTGAGGGTTAGGACAAGTATAAAACAGCGCCAGGGACAGTGTTTTGAAGCACGAGATTATTCACACAGCACAGACATGCAGATGCTTCTAGTGAAGTCTTCTCATTGCTTTAGAAAGTAATGAGAATCAGTTGTCTTCATTTTACTACAGTCTTAGGAGTTCAAAGAAAAGTAGGATGAAAAAACTCCTTTAGTGCTATGCAGATTTTGTCTTGATTTTCTTCTGCAGGTACATCTTGAACATATTTGTTCTGATGTAATAAATATTAAGTTAATGCTTCCTAATAAAAATCCTTGACGACTGTACCCAAAAGGGGTTTTTTGGTTTTCTATGAGCAGTAATAACTTCTGGAAGAAAAAAATGAGTACTGCTTGAAATACTTGAATGCTCATGAACTTTCAAAATGCAGTCAAATAATGTGCTCTGTGCTGCTGAAGACTAAAAGCTATCCATTCTAGAACATGTTTTAATCGGAAAGTAGAGCTAAAGAGCAGTACGCTCAACTTGAACTTAAACTTCTGCATATGATCTTCCCACTTATTGGTAGGAAGAAATAGAAAAACAAGTGTTTCAGCCTCCTGATCATGACAGTGCTTAACATTTGCATCAAACATGGGTGGTGGATAATTTCTATTTAAATTTAACAATAAAAAAACATAAATAAAACATTTTTTGCTGGAATTCTTGTTCATCCAGTAGACCCCTGTCAACTTCAAAAACTACATGCTCTTTAGAAGTTACGTCAGTTGCTGATATTCAAATTAATGAAAATCTTAATTCTTTATAGCTGCTACATATGTGTATTTAGGATTTGTCTGTTAACTATTTTGTGAAGTCATTATAAAAATTGTGTTAAAATATATATAATTAACATTGGTGATTTAAAAAGGAAATCTCCTCTTATAAAATTATACTTTGGGGTTTTTTTTCAGCTGCTCTCATACGTGGCAACAGAAACAATTGTACTCAGTTTTCCAGTAACCTTGATTGGCTAATCAGTAAATTGGACAGATTAGAATCTTCCTCAGGTGAGACTCACTTTTATAAATGTAAATTAACTATCAACACACCATATACATCTGTCTTACATTACAAATGTCAGAGCAGTTTTCCTTGAAAACAACATGCGTTAGAAAACAAATACACTGCTTTTTTTTTTTTTTTTAATTGAGCAAATTATTACATTTAAACAAACATTTTTGTGGCATTTTTTTGTTCCATACATTTGGTATGTGCAATATCCCATCCAATCAGTGCTGAATGTGACTTTGGTGAATTAATGGATTGTTTCAGACAGTAACAAGACTACTGTCCCATTGCTATCAAATAACACCAGAGTTGTTTGTGGGAACAAGTACAAATAACATATATATAATTTTTTTTCACTATGAGGTGTTCAACAAATATAAAAATAATGTACAATGCTCCTTACTAAAACCTTTGTCTCTCTCATTGAAAAGAATTTGCGTTTTTCTCAATTGGTTTTAAAATTGTGGCTATTTTCAAAATAAACCAGAAATTAACAGCTCCATAACTCATTTATGTCTAACACAGTTCACATCATAGTCATATCAATACTCTAAAAGTGTTTTCATTCTCTTTTTAGGCTGGAGAAAAATAGCATCTCTTAAGATACTCTATTATTTACTGAACTTTTAGATTGTCTGCAGTTGCAGAGATGATTTAATGACATTATTTCTGTGGCCTTCATACAGGTATTTTGGAAGTGTTGCATTGCATCTTGATTGAAAGCCCAGAAGCTTTAAATATAATAGCTGAGGAGCACATAAAATCCATTATTTCATTGTTGGATAAACACGGGCGCAATTACAAGGTATGTTTGGAAAAACTAAGGATGTATTGATAATCTTACAATGATTTGTGGGGGAAAAAAAACAAACCAAAAAAAAAACCAAACAACCCAACAGAAACCAAACAACCCAGAGAAAAATCTAATGGAAATATATTATTCTAGTACCTTTAAAGGAATAAAATAACCTTAAAGTACATCTGCAAAACTGCTTTTTTGAGATTAAAAAAATGTGTAATAATATAATTGCTTTTCAGTTTCAAATACAGCAAATATGTATGACAAGCAAATAGTTAAGAAACATTGACAACCAGTCAGAACTTTGGTTTTGCTGAGAAAATGAAGCATTCTGGTGGCTGTAAACATGTGACAGAGTAGATTGCTTTGTGATGCAGGGCTCTGCAGAAGCAATGAACTACCATTGTTGTATCTGCAGAAAGACAGAACTAAATCCTGCAAAGTCATTCCTAACTTGAGTAATAACAATAGTAGCAGAAAAGAACAAAATAAAATGAGAAATCAGAAAAATAATCCAAATATCTGAAAACACAGGTGTTCAGAAGAAAGAAAAAAACCCTGAGTTATACCAGAAGAAATAATGGTGGAAATTAATTTAGACATCAATGTGCAATTTATTATGGCAGAAGAAGGTGAACACAGTTTCTGGCTGCGATCAGGATGACATCACAACACAGAGGAGGATATAGTTTTATGTGTGATTTTCTGATGTGAGTTTCCTTCCTCAATTAAATTTTTTTTGAAAGACTGATAACCTGGAGGAAGAACAGAGAAAGTTTTAGTGAGCTGAAATTACTGATTTACAGGAGAAGGTAATACGGAAACCCTAACCACCTACAGATATGGAAAAAGAGAGAAGTATTTTTAAGCATGGTTAAGGAGTGTGAACTGGTATAAGTAGACAGAAGGAAAAAGTTTAAATTACAGTGGTAAGTTTAGCTTACTTTTTTTAGTTGTTAGCAAGGTTATTGTGGTGTGCCAGTCACCAGCAAAGAGAACCTTTCAGCTGGAGCATCTTAATGTAGACTTCATAGTGAGAATTTAAAGCAGAAAAGGAAAATGTTGTATACAGGAGAAGAATTAGACTGGGTAACGAATTTGTGCATTTACAGTTGTAATGTCATTTATTAAACATCAGTAAGTAAGGAAGTAATGTGAAGTAATGAATTTATTTGTTACTCTGGAATCAGTATATCTTGTTCTCCTGCTAGATTAGAAATTCTGTTGTGATTTAGGAAATAAGAAACAGTAATATTATTAACCAATACTGTCTTGGAAATTATTGATATGAAGGATGTTTTTAACGAAAAGCCTTGTGTCAGAAAGATGAGGTTACTTAAACTGTTTATATGTAAATTCTGAGTTACTGATTCTCATTAATGTTATTAAAACACTTCACAGCTGCATACTGGTCAGAGTTCCTGTGGTTGTTTAAGTTACTACCTCTGTCCTTCTGTACTAGAGGTTTCTGCCCAATAACAGAGACAGTAGAAAGGGAAATGCATGGGCTGGGACATAGCAAAGTTCACAATATATTAGCTAAAACTGCTGTTGAGGGTGGTTTTGTGCTACTCCACTGGGCAGAGAACAGGGGTGGCTAAAATATATGTTAGGTTCTGCTGCTCCTTGTGTTGTGCAACAGTTTCCAAAATGGTAATCTACAGTGTGAAGATAGTTCTTTGTCTTGGAGATGGTCTGTAAGAGTTTAGACCGCTTGGGCTCAGTGATTGCCTGGCAGAGCTCAAGTGCATCTTTAAACTTCTCTGTTTTTTGCAAAAGTGTGCAGCTTTGTCCCCCAGCATTGAACAGCACTATGTTACTGTGGTTCTCTTCCAAAACCTTTTGCTCTAGTAATCTGTGGGAGAATTACATCAATCTCTCTCACTTTTTATAACGTGACCCAAAAAAAGAAAGCTGAAATTTTAGAATAAGCTCTTTCTCAAACTCTGTTTTGCTTTATAGTGAATTCTTTTAAATGTTTTTCATGTCAAAAATAAATTGATTACTTCTCATATTGAAAACTTGCTTTCAGAACAGATTCAGAAGCAGTCTGAGAATTGCAGTTCGGTATTGTTCACTAATTTTACTCAGAAAGTTTTTCTGAGCTGCAGTAAATTTCTCAATAATTTAATTTTACATTTCAAATTTTTAATGAGATTTAATTAAAAAAAATTTTAGAGCTGTCATGCAGCTGTTCTAGCTTTGCTTTTTTCTAATAAGAATGAGAATAAGGAATCTCAAAGGAGGGATTTTGAGGCATTTTGCAAATCCTGTATTCTGAATTTATATTCCACGAATGTTTGATATCCTCTACCAGTAGTATAGACTACATTCAGTCCATATATGTGAAAAGTATTTGGAAAACAATAATGATAATGTGTATTATACTCCTTCCTTTAGATCTATTCTGAATGTAAATTAAGCTAATGACTGAATAATAGTATATGCAGCTGCCTTTACCTGTTTTCCTTCTCATTTTTTTTTTTTTTTTTAAGGTTCTCGATGTGCTTTGCTCTCTCTGTGTCTGTAATGGAGTTGCAGTTCGTGCCAATCAAAACTTGATCTGTGACAATCTACTGCCTGGAAGAGACTTACTCTTGCAAACACGTTTGATTAATGATGTGACAAGGTATAGTGACATGTTTCATTGTTATATTAGAAAAAATGTAACTTACATGTCTTCAATAATGAAGAAAATACTCTAACCTAAGAGATGTTCCACAGCTTTCAATATTGAGACACACACTTTAGGAAGTGTTTATGTATTAACTTCAGGAAAACCCATTTTTACTAGCAATGTGGCAATTGTCATGGAAACTGTGCTCAATTAGAAATTGCAAATTAATAGTACAATCTGTTCTGAAATGGAAAAATTAGTTGTTTGTTTCTCATTCAAAACAGAGCACGGCTTTCCCTAATAATTATTAGGGAATATGTAAACACACTGTGAAGTACTTGTCTGTTTTAAGAGGGATTTTTTTCCCTCACATCCTCACTCCTGTTTTTTTTTTTTTTTATTGGAAATGATCTTGTTATTCCTCTTTTAACTATAAGTTTTTCAAAGCATGGAACCTATACCTTAGAAGATGATTCTACAGAAGCTTTATAAAGTCATAAAATGGGTCACTATATTAAATATTATAAGCAAAATGTGGACATCTACACTCTTACTGTATTTGCAAAGTGAATTTGACTTTTATACAGCAATATCATTGATATGTCACATTTTATGTTTACACTGACTGGCTTACATTTTCTTTCTTAGCATAAGGCCAAACATATTTTTGGGTGTTGCTGAGGGCTCTGCACAATACAAGAAGTGGTACTTTGAGTTAATAATTGATCAGGTCGATCCATTCTTGACGGCAGAACCCACCCATTTACGAGTTGGATGGGCCTCTACTTCAGGTTATGCCCCCTATCCTGGAGGTGGAGAAGGATGGGGAGGCAATGGTGTGGGTGACGACCTGTACTCTTATGGTTTTGATGGCCTTCATCTGTGGTCTGGTAAGTACTTTGTTCACTTCTGCTTATTCTCACATTTAGGAGTTCCCTCTACCTTCAGTACCTGTGTGTATATAGCATGCTTTTTTATAGTGAGCAACATTTAGAACTCCAGGATACCATGAAGTTATTTATGATTTCAGATCAGACTTCTTTTCTGAGATTTCAGTCAATATTGAATTATACCAATTAGGTTTTTTAGCAGATAGCTTCTCTTTTCATTATTTTGATTTTAAAAAATGGCATTTTTCAGATTTAGATTGGTACTGACTTCAGTCTATGTGTTCAAAATCAATGGATGTATTGATCTCAGACAAATTCACTGTATATGGATCTACATCTGCAGTACTCTTTCACTTTGTATCAAGAGCGGAAGTAAAATAAGATTATTATCCCAGGAAGCCAACTGCGTCCTGTGCTGCATCAAAAGAAGTGTGACCAGCAGGTCGAGGGAGGTGATCCTGCCCCTCTACTCTGCTCTTGTGAGACCCCACCTGGAGTACTGCGTCCAGCTCTGGGGGCCCCAGTACAGGAGAGACATGGAGCTGTTGGAGAGAGTCCAGAGGAGGGCCACAAAGCTGATCAGAGGGCTGGAGCACCTCTCCTGTGAGGACAAGCTGAGAGAGTTGGGGTTGTTCAGCCTGGAGAAAAGGCGGCTCCGGGGAGATCTAATGGTGGCTTACCAGTACCTGAAGGGGCCTACAGGAAAGATGGAGACGGGCTGTTTATCAGGGAGTGCAGTGACAGGACAAGGGGTAATGGGTTTAAGCTGAAGGAGGGTCGATTTAGATTAGATATAAGGAAGAAATTCTTTACTGTGAGGGTGATGAGGCACTGGAACAGGTTGCCCAGAGAGGTTGTGGATGCTCCGTCCCTGGAAGTGTTCAAGGCCAGGTTGGATGAGGCTTTGGGCAACGTGGTCTAGTGGAGTGTGTCCCTGCCCATGGCAGGGGGGTTGGAACTAGATGATCTTTAAGGTCCCTTCCAACCCAAACCATTCTATGATTCTATGATCCTCGCGCCTATTGATAGATTTAATAAATTGAATTTAAATTTTGTTAAATAGTCTCATAAAAGATAATTTTGGAAATCAGAAATAAGAATCATAAAGCTATTACCAAACTCAGCTGATTGTAGAACATCAATTTCTGTGGTGTAATATCAAACTGAAAATGTGTAGTTGCTATGTTCTTTGAAAAAATATTTTTCATCTATTATCTAAATAGGCTTAGCAGAAAAAAAATAGACTTTTTCTAGGAATGCTTCTTAATATGTGTAGTAAACCGGGAGACACTCAATTAGTAATGCAGTGAAGTGGTTACACTTGCACTTTACAAAGAAGGGAGTTAATGGATGCCAGCAAATGCATATTTTGTGGTCACTTAAGGATCAGTGACAGTACTTAGTAGACATTTTTTGTTCAAGCAAATTGAAGAAGTTAGTGGGCTGAGTTAAGGAAAAAGTGGAAGTCACCACCTGTGCAGTCAGGTAGATTTGAGTAAGAGTAAAAAGAGTAAGAGAGAAGAGTAAAAGGAGTTTACAGGAAGGCTCATCTGAAGTGTTGCGGTTCAAATATTTTTTTTGTAATAATGAGTGTGTTATAAAGACACTTTTCACTGAGGAAAAAGGAGAAAGCAGAAGAAACTGATTAGAGTGCTTTGGAGAGGGATTAGTGAGAATCCTCTGGGGCACATAGCTGGAAAGCAGCTGTAGAGCTCACAGCTCATTTTTTGTGTGGTTATCCCTCCCCCAATACTATATCCAGGGAAAGGGAACTAGAATATACTTTTTGTAAACAGGCAGGTTTGTCACAGCAGAGTACCTTTTGACTGTGTCAATGTATGTTCCTATAGAAACAACCAGCAAAGTGCTACTGGCTAGTTGTAGGAATCAAATGGCAATGCAGGAAATGCCGATGGTTGGGTTTGCTTTCTTGAAGTTGCTAAATACTCTCTAAATAAGGAACATTGCAGAGAAGAAATAATGCATAAGTCTATAAAATGAGAAAATATTTAGGTAATTAGTTGTATACCATTAATGACATCATCTGCCATCTTTGTAACATCATTCTTAATTGAACTATCAATAAGTAATGAAAGGAGAAAGAAAAGCCGTAGGAAGCAAAACAGTTGCTAACATTTCTAGAAGATTTTACGTATGTATTCTACTTACATGAATGTTTAAAACAGCCCTCTGTCAATTAGATTTTGTACCTAAAATGTGTAAACAGTCTGTCTTAATTGATAAAAGTCTTTCGTTCACATAGAAGATTTTGTTAAGAATGCAGATGAAACTGAAGGTTCTCCTTTTATTAATGTTGTATTAATATGGTCTAAAATTGTATTTTCTCTGGCTTATACCATTGTTAAACATAAATTATTTGAGAGCAAATTTTATTGGCTGGGTCTCTGCCTCAAGACAGAATTGAGTTGAAAACTGAATTCATTTTCTGGAATGAAATGTGGACAATTTTTTCCAAAGTTAGACAATTCTGGCCACCTTTTCTCTGAAATGTTTGAACATTGGGTTGGGAATGTAGCATTTTGTTGTAAAGGACATTTTGTAACAATTTGTTTCACCAGGAATTTAGCTTTCTATGTTTCTTTTAAAAATATTTTAAAATTTGTTCAAAAGACTTAGAAAAAAACTCCAGTATCAGGACACTCTATAGATTTGTCTCAGTTTAACAGTTTTGTTTCTCGAGTGTGTAGCTAGCTATTCATGAACATTCAGAAGTTTAGGAAAAAAAATAGACATTATTTCAGTCCTTGTGCGTACAATCTTTAATTATGAAGTGGCATGTTATTTTTCCTTCCAGATCTCTCTTGCATACAGTAAATGATGTTTATTTTTTAGTTTGTTCAATTTGTGGCCTGTGCTTTATTTGCTGTACACTATTCAAGGCATGTAAGCAAAATCATTAATTTGCTCATATTTCTCAGTGCCTTGAAATGCCATATACAGCTAAGTATTCTTTAATTGCTCAGAAAAGAATAGTGTAAGGGCCATGCAATCAAAGGGTGTATTATAAATACAGCGTACATAAATATGATGAATTTGATTTTTAGCCTTAATTCTAATATTTCCTAATTTGGGTGTGTTTGACTTTTCAATTATATTAGCATTGTTCTAGCATAGGATTTTGTATATAAAACATCTATGTGTGTGTGTGCACACCCATAATTCCTTTTTTTTTTTTTCAGCACCACTGAACAATTCTCAAACGACAAAAATAATGATTTTTCAGAGTAGGCTGGGAGGCATCTGTAGCATACTCCATTAGAAATGGCGGAATAAATCATTAATACAAAATTAAACACTAATTGACCCTCAGAAATACAGTGCTGGAAAGTCTCTTAAATCTCATCTCCTGCAGTAAGGGAAAATTCAGAGTACTTAAACTATCCTGAACACTGAACAGTTGACTTGACTCGTTCTTGAGAAGTTCCAAACACAACAATTTGGAATAGTGCTTAACTGCTTAATTAGACTTGCTTTGTAGTTAAAATACAATGTTTTCAAGGGAATTGTTTTGAAAGAAATTCTAAAGAGATATTACTTGGCTAAACATATACTCAGATACGCAAGTGTGATTGAAAAACTGCAGTTATCTGTAAATGTGTATAGTTAAGATTATTTCAGATATTTTATCTCTGGTGAATTGTTATTACAATTGCTGTCCTGTGCATGGCTGTAAGGTTCCACCTTCCCAGGTGGGGAAAATGAAGGTCCCTCTGTTTAGTGTATGGCTATAGTTAATAAAGAAAACCTGGCCCATTAAATTCTTGATCCATTTTTTGATAACTCAGTATACCATTCTGCCTCTTGATACCTGTAAACCTGGATATTGGTCATAATCCCAGGTCCAGCAGAATCATAGAATGGTTTGGGTTGGAAGAGACCTCAAAGATCATCTAGTCCAACCCCCCCCTGCCATGGGCAGGGACATCTTTCACTAGACCAGGTAGCTCAAAGCCCCATCCAACCTGGCCTTGAACACTTCCAATGATGGTTCATCCGCATCCTCTCTGGGCAAACTGTTCCAGTCTCACCACTGAATATTCACAGATATGTGAATCTGGTGTTTCACAAATAACTAAAGAGGAAAAAAAATTGGATACATCAAAGATACATTCTAAGGAGGGCATCATTTACTGTGCCTCGGTACTCTTGCATCAGGCTACAGTGTGAACTTGCATGATTTCAGCTGAGCATGTTCTGTCTTGCGAACAATGTCAGAGGTCTCAAGTGATTTGCTCAGTTTATGCACTTTTCTGCCATGTATCAGTTTGAAGAAGGTTGACTCACTGTCTGTCCCTAAAAGCAGAACCATTCATAAAACAAATGAAGGCAAAATCATGTCTTCATGACTACAAAAAACCTTGATGGTATTTTTAAGAAAATAATTTCATTGTTAAACCTGTGAGTGTCTGCTTAAAACTTCTGATTACTGAATACTTTTATCCTAGGTCGAGTACCCAGAGCTGTAGCATCTGTCAATCAGCATTTATTAGCATCTGATGATGTGGTTAGCTGCTGCTTGGATTTAGGTGTACCCAGCATTTCATTCCGCATTAATGGACAGCCTGTACAAGGAATGTTTGAGAACTTCAGTACAGAAGGATTTTTCTTCCCTGTTGTAAGCTTATCAGCAGGTGTAAAGTAAGTACAACTTAATTTTAATTGTTTTCTTTGCTATCTTGTCACACAAAATATTGTCCAAATTCATGTATGGTTTGTTTAGATTTGTTGTTTCAGTTCTGCCCAAGCAGCAGCTGGGAGGGAGGGAGGCAGGAAAGTACTGATTTGTTTAGTGATGACTTCACTTAGGGGTGAAATGTGAGCCTGTTAGCAATTTGACCAAGTCACAGTGTCTGAAAATTATTATTTTACGGTTATTTGGTGGCCTAGGGGAAATTAGTTTTGTCTCATTCCAATTATCAGTGAAAAAAAAAGCACATTAGAAACACAGCACCACATTTGGCACTAATTAAAATCCTCACTGGCTTTCTCAGTAGGAAGTAAAAAACCCTAAATAATCAGGAAAACTGATACTGTATTCACAGTAGGAAACACAAAGAACTGATGAGAAGCAGTTTTAGAATCTTGTTACTAATATTGCCCATTTCTGCTGATAAATGGCAGAAAGCAGCTTGGTGAACGCTCCCGCCAGCTCCCTCAGTACCCTTGGGTGGATCCCATCTGGCCCCACAGACTTGTGTGTGTCTAAGTGGTGTAGGTGGTCGCTAACCCTTTCCCCTTGGAGTGTGGGGGCTTTGTTCTGCTCCCTGTCTCTGCCTTCCAGCTCAGGAGGCTGGGTACCCAGAGAACAACTGGTCTTGCTATTAAAGGCTGAGGCAAAGACAGCATTAAGTACCTCAGCTTTTTCCTCATCCTTTGTCACTATGTTTTTCCCCTGGATCCCTGCATAACGTCATGACATCTTTGTAGTCCTCCTGAGTTGCCTGCCCCTTCTTTCAAAGGTCATCTCCTTTTTTCCCTGAGTTCCAGCCAAAGCTCTCCGTTCAGCCAGACTGGTCTTCTTCCCTGCTGACTCATGTTTTGGTACATGAGGACAGCTTGCTGCACCTTTAAGATTTCCTTCTTGAAGAATGTCCAGCCTTCCTGGACTCCTTTGCCCTTCAGGACTGCCTCCCAAGGAACTCTGTCAACCAGGCTCCTAAACAGGCCAAAGTCTGCCCTCTACAAGTTCAAGGTGGCAGTTCTGCTGACCCCCCTCCTTACTTCTCCGAGAATTGAAATCTCCATCATTTCGGGAGCTGTTCCCTTCAGAAGGGAGTCTCCTATAACAATGACCCATATTTTTTTCTTTATGGAAGCGTTTTGATGCAGGGGTAGGCTGTCTTAACCTTGACAACATCTCCGAGCTAGATAAACCATCGTCCTTCTTATTGTTCAGTTCCACTTGCAGACCCTCATATCTACTCTGCAACAGCACCTGGGAAGGTGGAGCAGTCACAGAGGAGACGTGCCTGCTGCACCAGGCAGGAACTTATTGCCATTGTCCCCTGTCCCTTAGTCATTGTGTTCAGTCAGGTGGAGAGACGATAGAGAATCCTCCATATCATGCATCCTGTCTGCCTGTTGGGCCTGTCCCAGGGAAGGTAGAGTGCAATTCCAGTAGTCTATTTCTGTCACACTCCCTAATACTCCTCAACCTACTCACCTCCTCCTGGAGCTCTGCCACTAAGTAGAGGATTTCCTCCACCTGGGTGCACCTCCCACAGGTGCTCTCACTGCTGCCATCATGTACAGGCATAAGAGTAGGGCACACCCTGCAGCCTCATATCTGGGTGGCTGCACCTTCCCACTGGAGCTCTGTCTGGGAAGCTGCGTTGTCAGTCATGGTGTGCATGCAGAGCTTAGAGAGGCCATGGCTTTCTACTGGGTGGATACCATTGCTCCCTGGTTGATCTGGCAGAGCTTCAGCACCCTTCCTGTGTGCCCTTCCTGCAGGCTGCTGTTGCTCCTGGCACTGCCCGGGCCTTGTCAGCCGCTGTCGCGTGAGCTGTGGGCTCCTGGTGGTTCCCTCGGCTGCCCCTGAGGTTACCCCGGGTTGGGAAACCCCCCTGTGCAACACGCTGGAGTGCTCTGCTGTGGATCGTGCCAGCACTGGAGTTGCTTGCCTCAGTGACTTAAAGGTTCTGTGTGTCCAGAATAGACAGTATATAGCTTTCATAAGTGAAAGAAAGCCCAGGGTATAAATGGTTTATACATTTAGCAGTTAAGAGAAAAGAAATCTTTGTTTCTCTGAGGTGAAGTAAATCAGATAACTAGTTCTCTGGGGGCTTTTCCTTCTGTGATCAGTACATAAATACTTTGAGCATCTCATGCTTAAGAGAACCTCCCAGGTGACAATACTAACACAGACTAAACAGAATAAAGGAGGCCTGGGAAGGGCTTAATAAATCAATTTTCATTTATCCCTCTGGGAGAGACCCTACTATGTAGTTGCATTAGTACAAGAGCTTTTGAAAATCTTCATTAATTTCTTCTGTAAGAAATGTTTAAACATGTAATTATTTTTCTTCATTCTGATTTGATGTTGTTTGCCTATTTTGTGAGAGCGTTTTCCCTTGTAGCTAATAGTAGCTGATGGTAGCAGCAGGTTGTATGTCATCTTCTGTGTCTCTTAATATCAGAGAAATATTATGATATGGGAATCCTGAGTTCATGAGTGAAGGAGAGTGTTCTGCACTGGGCACAAACTCTTATATTTGTTCTGTTGCGGCTTATCTGCTTTCTGTGACTTTCTCAGTCTCTGATTCTGGGTCTGCTTCACCATTCCATCATCAGTTTTTCTTCTCTAAACCCTTGTCAGTACCTGCTTACCTATGCTGCCTCTTACTCTCTTCTTTACTGTAGGCATTTTGTCCCTATCTATCAATGTTTCCCCCTTTCTACCAATGGTGCTCTGAGCTCTGCTTGTAGTACTACAACATGGCCATTCAAATAATCAAGGAATTTAAACAGCAACTCTGTGTAGAGAATTCATTTTCTTTTCTTCTGATTTTCTTTTGATCTATTCAGATTTATTTAACCTCTTCTTAAAAAGCATGTAAATGCAGAGATAAAGAAATGAAATATGAGATTAACTTTAAATGACCCAATCCAACATGTTTTTCAGGATGTTAGGGGTCTCGATGCGTTGACGTGAAAAGTCAACATCTTAAAACTAAATGCCTGGTGCTTTTAGTAATTAAGCACGAGGTACGTTAAATACTGTTATGATGAGGGTCCCGTCTTTCACAAACAGCCTTTGTAGTAAGCAAAAGACTATTTAACAAAGTCTGTCATTCAGGCTATGAAAACTAAGTATAGCTGCTGGCAAATTACTAGAATGGTAGGTGCAGTTGCCTATCAAGACTGCTTTTGTGAAAGTATGTACAGCCCAACTCCAAAATGAAATAAAAGTAGTAATTAACCTAAATCAATGTTTAACTATTTCTAGCTGTCTTTTAGAAGTTATATTGCTTTGTATTTGATTTTCAGGAGGGTTCTTTTAAGGTTAAGGTCAGACAATATTTAGCTGCCTTGGGATCATTTAAATATTTTAAAGGATGTATTTTTAAAATTAAATTAGAAAGTTCAAGCTTAATAAAAGTAATCCATAATAATGTGTTTCTTGAATTTTTCATTGAATTGTTTCAGATATTTGTGACTTGTACTTATGTACATCCTGTTTAAGAAAACTTTTGTGTCTTAATTTTTCTCTTCTTTTTATATTATTAATGTCTCTTACTGTCAATAATGTATGTTGATCTGATAGTTCTAGTCTTTCTAGAAGTGTAAGTAAAAAGTGGCATAGGTCACTCCATCACAACAAATATATGGGCTATTTCCTAGAGATAAGAGGTTTTTTTTAATTTTCTGTGGTTGTTTACCTCTAGAGTTTGCCTATATGAGGACCAAAGTATGAAGGTGGATAATTTGTGTCTTTGTTGTTTTTCCTGGTATACTCTTAAATTTATATATCTGAGGAGAAACAGAAAACTTTAGGGGTTTAATAGGAATCTTAGTTACGCTTCTGAAACTCATTCGCAGTTGCACTATTTGGTATAATTTTGTTTGCTTTATTTATGTATTATGATGATAGTGGGCTTTTTTTCACCATATCCTCTGTTTATTTCTCATGTGGCAACTGCCTGCATGAGTGGACTGAGAAGTTTCTTTAAAACTTTTAAGTGATTTATAACTAGTACCTATGGCATTTTTTTAGAGTAACAGTCCAATTTAAATCAGATTTGTGTTTCCAAATCATTTAAATGCATTAAAAATTTCACTCAATCTACAACTATTTGATTTTAAGTAAGATACAGGGTTTTCTTTGAAAAGACACTACTGCATTGAATAATCAGTTTTGCTTTGGCCAAAACAAATTTTAAAAAAATGGTGGGTAGATGATGGTGTTATTGATAGTTTCTGCTAGTATGAATGCTTGGTAACTCTTTGGTGTTTATCAAAGCATAAAATACACCTGCATTTTTGTAAATGTTATTCAAATAAACAAGTTTCTAAATTATTTATTGATAATGTTCATATATGCTGACTATGTAAGAGTATAATTTCTTCATTGAAAATTGCACAGAGTTCGTTTCTTATTGGGTGGACGTCATGGAGAGTTTAAATTTCTGCCTCCTGGTGGCTATGCTCCCTGTTATGAAGCATTGCTTCCAAAAGAGAAGATGAAACTGGAACCAGTGAAAGAATATAAGAGAGATTCTGATGGAGTGAGGGATCTACTGGGTACAACTCAGTTCCTCTCCCAAGCTTCCTTTATCCCTTGTCCAATAGACACCAGTCAGGTATGTTAAGTAAGCAATAATGGGATTGTGAAATACGTGTTAACAAAATTTAAATTGACAGTATAAAGAAAACTAAGCTAGCTTGTCCCCTTTCTTAGCAATTCAACATTTGTGTGTTGTGGTGTATTTAACTGAACTAGATGATCTTGGACCTGTAAGGTATGGTATCTGGAACCTTTTCTTATTTGTGGAATTGTTATGATCTTTTCTTAGATTGCTCTTCCTTTTCATCTTGAAAAGATCAGGGACAAACTGGCTGAAAATATCCATGAACTGTGGGGAATGAATAAAATAGAACTGGGCTGGACGTATGGCAAGGTACGTTTTGAAAGACCTATTTGTGTATGATCACCTATATTAGGTTAAGTGTCCTACAAGAAAACCTGGACTTGGAAGTTGAACAGAGCATTTAATGGTGGTCTATACATTACTAATGACAGAGGAATATGTAAGCTGGCAGGAGACAGTGATATTAACTAGTGATTAGAAGGCAAATTTGCAATATAAATAAGGTACCTATTTTAGCACTGTAAGTAATTAACCATTTGAAAAAATATCTTAACTGAGAGACATGCTAGCTATACAAAGATGGAATTCTACTGAAAATCATACCAACAGTGAGTACTCCCTAAGCTAACTCTCTGGTTACTAACTCTAGTGTTGGGGATCAAAGAGATAACAAGCAAAAAGTCCATTGTGGAAATTTGCTTCTGTTGATAATGGAGACAGAGTTTTGGTGACGTTCAAATTCCTCAACGCTCTTTTTATTTTATTTAATTAGTTACAGTTGAAACTTATCATTATAAAGATCCCTTATAATGTGGTATAACCTAGCAGCTTGAAGAGAGTAAGGCCATCTGGTCAACATTATTTAAATGCATATGACAAGGCGTTCACTGCCCAGTGAATGTCACCAAATGAAAAACAGTTAAAAGGGTAAGTCAAGAGTACTATATTCAGAATATTATATTGAATTCAACAATTATTTTAAAATTGGTACCTTCCCCTAGTAATATAAAATTCTAAAGGCTGTATTCTTCCTTGAATTTAGGTTATTTCATCTTACTTTTTTTTAAAATTCAGATTTACTGGAGTAGTCCTCCATATGCCCATCACAACTGTATCCTACCTCATAAGAATCTTTTTCCTTCTGTTATGTTCTGCTGGTTTTACTTATGGACTTGATTTACCTTTTTCCGCAAGAATTCTGCCATACTACCTGCTAAAATGTCATTGTTATTGAAATTCTGAGCTGTGCTAACCTTTTTAATGTTTCTGAGCTTTAGCAATTGCAAAATGTCTTTGTATGTAAAATGTCATGACTCTAGTTGCTATCAGGATAGAAGCACTTGGCATTGAGTGAAAGACCCTGTTTAATTAAGAGTCAGATAAATATTCAAAGACTTATGTTGTTATAAGAGAAACCAATGCTCTGCTTTATTATTTCAGTAGAATTTGGAAAGCATTACCAAATGTTTCTTCAAGGTTTTTGAATCAGAATGTGTACAATAGATCAGATTGTGCTCTATTGAGCATATATTACTTAGGCATTCAGCAGAAATGTTCTCTGAGTTTATAAGCTTGTTTCCTTGTGTTTCGTCTACTTATGCGGTGCACGTGAAATAGTTATTTTCTCTTTTCTGATTTTTTTGGTTATGGAGGAGTATTTATAGTGTGCATTATAATTGAATCATGGGAAAGTTCATTTATATAATGATGGGTAACTCTTATTGAGCAAAGATAAATGGTATTATTTACAATGTCTTCATTACTGCAAAGAATTAACTGATTTTTGGGGTTTTTTTACTCTGATTCTGGCTCGAATCTGGTATCAGGAAAGTACTCTCTTCTGTTGCTTTCTTACAGATACGGGATGATAATAAAAGACATCATCCTTGTCTTGTGGAATTCTCAAAATTACCTGAGACAGAGAAGAATTATAATCTACAAATGTCAACTGAAACCCTCAAGTGAGCTTTAAATTTAAAAGAAAATAAAATTTACTATTTTTTTTTAATTCAAGCACTTCATACTGTTGTAAGATATAAAAACATTAGAATATCTCATTGAAAGTGAATTCTGCTAACTTTGCTAGAACACATTCAGAGCGATGTAGAAAAATCAGTCTCTGCAGAAATACAAAGAGGAAAACAACACCAAATCCTGTTGTTTTCAATAAAGTGGCATAACTTTCAAGCCACAGATTTGTACCTTTTTAGACTTTGAAGGTTTTATTTATTATTTTTGATAAGTTAAAATATTTGTGTTTTGAAATTCCATTATTTTGAATTACTTCCCTGTTTTTTAAATATCATTAGTTCTGCATATTTATACTAAAACCAAAAGAAATTTATAAAATGGATGACCAATATAATATTGTGTTTCACTACTGCCATTGTTTTATGTTGTCAGGACCCTTTTGGCCCTTGGATGTCACATTGTTCATGCTCATCCAGCAGCTGAGGAAGATCTTAAAAAAGTCAAACTTCCTAAGAAGTATGTATCTTATGATAACTATTATATATTATTTGTATTAAGAATTAAACAAAAATATTGTAAGGTCATTTAAAAAAATACTTGATATGGACCCCATCCCCACTATGGACTTAGACAACACATGGTTGGTCTGTTACCTTGCCTGTGATGATGTTAGACTGTGAATGCTCCTGCATTACATCACTTTGTGAAGTGATTCAGAGAGAGACAGAGAGTCACATACAGATATAACTGCTTGTGGTTTGTGTGTTACATGATCTTAGAATAGATACTCCAAAGTTAAGAGCAACATTTCAGTGCTTTTCTGTCACACTGCAAAGAACAGTATGTATAATATATGACAGTAAATTGATTGACTTGAAAGAGGGTATACCATTTTCCCATAGTTCTTGTTTCAATTTGCACCTCCCCTCCGTGTGTTTTGTTCAACATACACACATTTCCAAAGACATTACTAATGCATTTCTTTAAAGAGAAAAAAATAGAAAATGACTGTTCTTGTAGTGTTGTACATGTCTAGGAAATGTACATATGTAGATTATTGCATAAAATACAATCTGCGTTTTTTTGCTTTAATTTTTATTTGATAGCTAAACTATGGCAGTTGGAGCTAAAATAATTGCATGATCTTTTTTATTTAGACATCTTTAAGTCATCAGTAGTAATCACCCCAAAAGTGGTGAAGATTAATCAAGGATTACATCTGTATTTTAGCCTTGTCTGGGGGAATTCTGTAGTCCTCCTGAGACAGATTAAAACCCTGTCCTGCAACAAAAATTGAAGACAGAAACAGTTATTTGGATACTTACCATTTCACATCAGTTTATCAACCCACAAGATACCTTTTTTTACTGAAACAGCTTTATCCATGAAAAACAAAGATAGATTTTAAAGACAGCAGTAAAATAAATAGTTATATGATATGGGAGATGGTAATATTGATCCATTTGATGGCATTAATTAAAAAAAAGGAAAAAAGAACCTTTCCCAAGGTTCAGACTGCAGGCAATCTATCATAATATTGTTTTGGTTCTATTGTCTTCAATAATAGAACAAATACATCTTAGTTTCTGATTCTTGTTAAAATACCTACTGCCCACATGAATCATCCAAACAAATGGAAATTATCTGATCTGAGCAAGAGAGAGTCTGCATATGTCTAATCCAGCAGAGTAGCCTTTATACTATATGGAAGGGTCGGAGAGGGTAATGCCTACTACTAAAAAGGGGGAAGAATAACAGTTAAAATATGTTTTCTTCTGTTGGAAAAAAAGGTAATACAATCTTTACAGACTGGTATGTAAAAAGCGCCATAGTTAATAATGCATAAAAAAGAATTTCCTTAGAAGTCATCATGCAGATCTGTAAACTATAAATTACTTGAAGATTTAAATGACAAATAAAAAAATAATAAAGCATATTCATTTAATAACAATTTCATTTTTTTCGTAGCAACTATTTAGGGATGTACATATGGATCTGGGTCACTTTTAATTAGATAGGGTGCAAGTAGGTGGAAAATGAGACTCTCTGCTAGAATACAATTTATAGCCTAGTCAATGGCCAAATGCAATGCAGCATTTTTGCAAGGAAATTGGGGAGTAGGAGATTGGAAAGTGGAGAGAGAAAGTGAATGCCACCCTATGAATGCCACATAGAAAACTTTAAATACTCTCAGTGGGGTATCTTGAGACTCTGTTTTCTTTTGTTTACTTACAGTTACATGATGTCAAATGGATATAAACCCGCCCCTCTTGATCTTTCTGAAGTGAAATTGTTACCTTCTCAAGAATTTCTAGTTGACAGACTAGCAGAAAATGCACATAACGTCTGGGCAAAAGACAGAATAAAGCAAGGATGGACCTATGGCATTCAGCAGGTAAGGACTTCTTTAGATGCATTTGGAGTAAGTACAGAACATGAGATTTTGTTTTCTAGAACATCAGTTGGGAGTGCTAAACAAGAGGATAGATACTCAATGTCGTGTAGTGTCTGGAAAAGTTGGAGGGGACGGGGAGCAGGGAAAGAAGCCTTGTCCATGAAGGTCTGAATAGATTGTCAGACCTGCATGGCTGCAGCTGCAGGATGTATGAGAATATATTTCCATGCTTCTCTTTCATTCTTGTTTTTATGTTTTTAATATAATTAACAATTGGGCTTGCGTTATACTCCTCAACCTACATCAATATTGTTTCTTCATCAATATTGTTTCTCTCCTGTAATCTGAACATTATTTCAGAATACAGTCTGTCGCAGTATATAAAATCTTTATGATGTTTAAACACGGGTTTTTTCATGTTCTTTTTTTATAACCCCTTTTAGGATCTTAAGAACAAACGTAATCCTCGGCTAGTGCCGTATACATTATTAGATGAACGTACTAAAAAATCAAACAGAGATAGCCTCCGTGAAGCTGTTAGAACATTTGCAGGCTATGGCTACAGTATTGAGCCACCTGACCAAGAGATAGGTATGTACTTTCAATAAGACTCATGGCCTTTTTTTCCATCAGTCCTAGGAAAAAACATAGAACACTGAAACAGATAGGGAAAACATAAGTTATGAATTAATAGTAGTGTATTTTCGCAGTGAACTTTAATGAAAGGTGCAAAGATACTTTGTAAATTACTTGTATATTACTTAAATATATTTTTTTAAAGATTGGTTATAATTAATTACATGATAATTCTAATTTCTGTGATTTTTAGATTGGAGAAAATCTGGACTGTGAGTAGACATACTGGTTTTCATTTGGAAGTAATGAAAGAAAAGAAATAATATGGGATTAATTTAAAAGATTTTTTTTTACATGTTATGCAGATTAGGTTTGACTATTTCAAGTCAAACTCTGTTCTTTAAGAAGTACTCAAAGTGCATCAAATTCAATAGTAATTTTTATTGAAATCAAGAGCAGAAATTTCTTTAGAAGTTTTTCTTCATATAAGCTGCACCACTGTATTCTCTTGACAAAACTTATTTGATAATTTTGTTTAAATGTTCAAAATGTATTGACTTGTGTAGGAAAGTATTTCGTTGTATTGTAATACTGCATTATTGCATTGGACTGTGTTGCATATAGCAATCTTAAACTTCTGAGGTTTCCTCTATTCAGTTTTGTGTTTGGGGCTTTGCATTGAATGACGCTTTGAAATATTCTGATTCTAAATAGTGGATAATCACTTATCCTGTATAGGTGCTAGCCTCTGTATGCTGATTACTGTTCCTCCTTTTTTAATATTTACTATGAAGTTTCTTAAACATGCAATTGTAGATAATGGCTGTTTCCAGAGACAGAAAATACTGGGGACAGATTAAAAGTTAAACAATGGCATTTATAGTTTTGTCTTAATATAAAAGGTGGTGGTATTTTCTCTGTTATTTTTACAGCTGACCAAACAGTGGAAAAAGTCAGCATCGACAAGATACGATTTTTCAGAGTAGAACAGTCTTATGCAGTGAAGTCTGGAAAGTGGTACTTTGAATTTGAAGCTGTGACAGGTGGAGACATGCGTGTTGGCTGGGCCAGGCCAGGCTGTCGACCAGACGTAGAGTTGGGAGCTGATGACCAAGCATTTGTATTTGAAGGAAGCAAAGTCAGTACATCTTTATCTCTTCTGACCTATGAACAAGCTAGGCAGAGTACTAGAGTATGGGTTTCCTCTGTATACTCCACAACAACTACTGTAACATTTTTTATTCATATAAAGATATCTCTGAGCTCTGTTTTACACTGGATAGTATCTGGTTTTTGGTGCTGGTCACTGTAATTATGCTAACAAAGATGGTCAGTTTCTGTCTATCTTCCCAGGATATATCCAAGTCAAGAAGTCTGTCGTAAACATAAACAAAATGCAGTATTCACTTCCTTTTTTTTTTTTTATAAGCAGTGTTTCATAAAAATAAAGCAAAGATTCTTCAATGACTGGAAGAGAGAACCACAGTTCTGTTTTCCCTTTTCTGACTTTTCTACACATTCTTTCTTCCCAAACATGACTCCTAAAGGGCCAGAAGAATGATAATAGCACTGCATGTGAGAAGTGAAATCCAGTGAGCAGTGGTTATCGTCCAGGTTCTAAATTGCTGTTTCCATATTACAGAAGTTAGGGTGCCTTAGTTTCAGTACTGTTTGCAAATTACTTTGAGATCCTGGAAGGGGAAGTATTTGTTTATTTTACTTTATTTTGTGTTTTGTTTTTTAATTTTAGCCTGGTGTTTACTTGTTTTTTTGTTTAGGGCCAGCGTTGGCATCAAGGCAGTGGGTTCTTTGGACGAAGCTGGCAACCGGGAGACGTGGTTGGTTGTATGATAAACTTGGATGACAAATCAATTATCTTTACTCTGAATGGAGAGTTGCTTATAACCAGTAAAGGTTCAGAACTTGCATTTGCTGACTTTGGAATAGAAAGTGGTAATTTTCTTTTTATAGTTACATGGCTATGAGAAGACAAAACAACACCAAATCCTGAAAAACTAATCTGTCATAATGGCTTAATGAGCTGAGAAATGAGGGTTATCACAGTTGCCCATGAATGATTTTTCTCCCCACCCCCCAGTTAATTCTTGAACTTACTTGTACTCTTGATTTTGAACTCCTTACACCCCAATGCTGAGGAATATGACCCCAGCAATTTTGTACTTCCTGTTGATCTTATTGACTACTGCAAGCCTAACAAGTTTTGGTTCTCAATTTCCCCAGCTGGTAGTCCGTTCCTATCTAGTACTTCCATCAGTGCTTTTACATTGTATTTCACTGATGCAAGCCTTCAGACTGTGCTACACGTTAATTTCATAACAATTTATTTTGAGTGCTTATATGGCACAAATCGAAAAAAATCATTACATTGAACTTAGGCATTAGTATTGAAGGTGGCTTTAAATCCTTGCTACTATCATCACTTCATGTGTATTACTTGTAGGAGCTAAAGTTTAGTTAGATGGATCCAAAATAGAATGCTTGTGTTCTCCAAATAAATTACTGTTGTGGGGTTTTTTGTTGTTGTATCGTTTTCTTAGGTTTTGTTCCAATTTGTGCACTGGGTCTATCTCAGATTGGTCGTATGAACCTTGGAATGGATGCCAGTACATTCAAGTATTATACAATGTGTGGCCTTCAAGAAGGTTTTGAACCTTTTGCTGTCAACATGAACCGAGATGTTGCTATGTGGTTTAGTAAACGCTTACCAACATTTGTCAATGTGCCAAAAAATCATCCTCACATTGAGGTAACATTACATGTTAGGGAGACACCTGTTTATCAACTGTTTGTTTAGCAAGCTGAGACATTAAACCCTTACTAATACTTACTGTCATCAGATAGTTTGTCATATAAATCTATTAAGTCCAGATGATTGTGTTTATCTCCAACTTCATTTATGGTATTATTACCATTCGTATAGTTATACCTATCTGTTCTATTCTTTGTCAAGTTATGTTGTTGTGGTTAGCTACTTGAACCATGTGATTTCTTAGAACCCTTTTTCATATTCTATCCTACATTCTTTTTTGTTTTTTTTTTAAACCTTCTCTAGTAACCTGTTTTTATATTCTATCCTACATTCTTTTTTGTTTTTTTAAACCTTCTCTACTACACATTTTTCTTAAATATCTAAAAATTGTTCAGGTGAATTCAGCATCACTTAAGGTAATGGAATTCTGAGCTAAATAGAGACTGATTCAGTCAACTTCAATAATCTGAGGTGCATTTCAGTGTACCTATGGTGTCACTGAGTGATACCTGTTTCATTCATTCTTATGATGCAGCAGCGATAGGAATTCCACAATTCCCTAATCTACTCCTGAGCAGAATAATATATCCTATGTTTTTTATAACATATTCCATAGTAATATATTCCACAATTATATGTTTGAATACCTGATCAGGGTTTTTTTATGATAATCCCTAAGCCATTTACTTTAATTTAGGAGTTTAGCCGATTATTCCCTCATACTTGTCTTTGAACATTTCCTTCTTAAACAAAATACACATCACTGAATTCCAACTAAATGATGGCAGTATTTTTTTCAGTTTATCAGGATCATTTCAACTGTATTCCAATCTTTAAAAGTTTTTGAAATGTTCCTGTCACTGAGTTTAAAAGCATATTCACTTTTTCAGCACAAGGGAAAATAATATCATCAGACTCAGACTTCACAATGATCATCTGCAGGATTCTAATTGATATTTATTCTTGTTGTGGTAGAAAACTACTGATTCTTGTGAAGCAAGTTTTCAATGACTTGTGCACTCAGAGTGAATTAGTTTAATAAAATCTATACTTTTGTTTTTGAAAATGCTGTATGGAACAGCTTGAAAATATTTACTGTAGTCAGGATATACTGAATCTTTCTTCCCGCGCTCTTCAGGCTCGATTCCCTGTCAGAGCAGAAAGTTGCACAGTTTTGAAATTAATTCATTTTGAAAATTTAAATTGATTCTTTCAGTTGTCTCATCCTCTAGTTGTTTAATGAAAGTTTTCAGCAATTTTCTTGGAATAGTATTATTTTAAAATTATTTCTGTTATTTTTAGATATGGAGAATTGATGGAACCATTGAGAGTCCACCTCGGTTGAAAGTTACTCACAAAACATTTGGCACGCAGAACAGCAATTCAGACATGATATATTGTCGTTTGAGTATGCCCATTGAGTTCCGCTCATCATTCAACTTCGGCATGGGTGTGGAAAATGCCTCATCTGATGTTTTCCAAAAACGGTTAGACTTGGTTATAGTTATCCTTTTTTACGCTCTCAATGTAAACATAATATGTTCTATTATTCTTTATTATTGTACACTCAAGATTTCATACTTGTTTTTGCACTAAGCACACACTAGAATAAGATGCATGTTACTGATATTTTTTTGTTCTTGATGGGTTTAATAAATTTATAACACAACTTTGCTGCAGAATGCTATGTTCAGACAAGACAGAACTGTTTCTGAAGAGGTGCATCACAAAATTTATAGTTATTCATTGCTAAGTAGCTGCCATTCTTTCAAAATCATTGGGATTTGCAAAGCTCTTCAGCCAGGCTAGAAAACAAGCTCGGAATCGTGTGCCCATTGAATTAATGCTGATCTACTTTCTTGTTTAATAGCTCATTGTTATTGGAAAAATGACTAATCTATGCAAAGAAAAAAAAATTGTGGGACAGATTTTTAAAGATACCAGGTAGTACTGAGTTCAGCACCTTCCAGGATTGCCTTCACCTTTAGTTAATTGCTGTAAATCTCTCTCTTCCCCACCTCTACAGCTTAAATGCAATTAATTTATTTGGGTGTATATTTGTATCCTATAAAGTCTTTGCATACTTAATTAACTCATGCATACTCAGCACCCAGCAAATATGAACTAGCCTGTAAGTATGCTTAGTTTAATATTGAGTAGTTTTTAAACTACTTTTCTTTTTTAAAAAAACTAATGTACTGATGTTCCTTTATCTTTAGAAAGCACAGTCAAGAAATCGCTGCTCCTTCTACTACGGTAAGTAAATATGCTGAGATGCTTAGTACTTACTTTTTGAAGTAGATTAGGTCGTGGCAGCATGTTCATTAGAAATTGATCTGTTGAAAGAAACCTTTTTAATCATTTCCTATGATATAACACTGTGTATAAATAATAATGCCCAAAGTTGTATGATTTGTGGTGTAAACCTCACTGTCTTAAACCACTAGTCTGTTGTGTTTTGTTGGTTTTGTTGGGTTTTTTTAAATATATGAGCATTTTAAATGACTTAAGAGAATGTGAATTACTATTATTAAAGCTTGATATCTAGGAGGGTTTTTAAATTGCTATTTGAGTATTCCTTGATAAAATAATTTAAATTTCTATTACTAATATCTTCTTTTCCTCTTTTCAGTATTTTTACTCACTACGGATATTTGCTGGCCAAGACCCCTCCTCTGTCTGGGTTGGCTGGGTAACACCAGACTATCATTTTTACAGTGAGAATTTTGACCTAAATAAAAATTGTACAGTGACTGTTACTTTAGGTGATGAGAGAGGCAGGGTTCATGAAAGGTATGAATTTATTTATCACTTATTAAAGATTACATTTTAATACTATTGTTCAAAGTGAATTATTCACGAGCTTGATGATATTTTAAACATTATTTGAAACTACTAAGAAAATTGATTATGGAGTAGGAGTGTTCTGTGCTCATTTATGTATAAATGTGGTTTACATAGACTTGTTAAAGTGAGTATATTTGCCATTAATGTTCTGTTTGAAAGAATGTTTTGTGATGCTTCTTTCTTTTAACATCTATATTTGGTCACTGTGGATGAATCTGTTATTTGTTTTAATGTATCTTACATAAGCAGACAGAAGCATGTGAAATTGTTTCATAATTATAAAAAAGGGGGGGGGGGAAGGTGCAATTAGTCTGATCCCTTACCCACGAAGTTTAAGTTATTAAAAAAAGGGGACTTATTAATAGGAAAACCAAACTAACAACAGAATAAACACCTTTGAGGGTCTCGGTCTGTAACTATACTGCTCCATTGAAAAGTATATCTTCACTCAATACTTACTCAAGTTCAGTGTGACCTATAATTTGTTTTCTTTGTTCTTGCTGTTCTTTCAGTGTGAAGCGCAGCAATTGCTACATGGTTTGGGGAGGAGATGTAATTGCTAATTCCCAGAGATCGGGTCGCAGTAATGTTGATTTAGAAATTGGATGCTTTGTTGACCTGGCTACTGGAATGTTGTCATTCACAGCCAATGGAAAAGAGCTTGGCACTTGTTATCAGGTATTATCAGATTTTCAGGAAGCTATCGAGTAAACTGATCATTTTGATGCTATTATAAAATTGTTTTTTCTTGTTCAGAAATCTAACTGAACACTATACATGTGACAGTAACATGTTTTCCTATATTAATGTGTTTTATCCCTGTTTCTTTCTGTCTCTCCTTTGTAAGGTTACATTTTTCCAACTTCTTACAATTGTGTCAAATGTTGAGGAAGGACTATTGGTAGATATGTTCAGAGAAATATTTTTTTACCTCTCAGTTCTCATGGTTCAGAATCTTGATTTATAACATTAATTATTCTGAAAAATATTTTTTTGTCAACTAAATCTGTTATAAGATAAAGGAGAAATAATTATTTAAGTTAGCATAAGGTCAAAATTAAACTTTAGATATAATAATTTTTGGTATGGATTGAGAAAATAAATCTAGTTTATTTTTATCAGGATTTGTGCCTTCTGCAGGTAGCTATGAATTGGAGATCTTGTGATTTGATAAGTTTCAAACCCCAAAATTCAAATATGCGTTAATGTGCAAAGCCAAAATAAATGGGATGGGCCCTAAATGCTATTAATGTTCTCAAAATGTGGAGTCATGTGAATGGATCAGTAGTCAACAGAAGTTTTCAGCACCAGATTGATGAGATTTGCTCTTAGTAAGATCAGTTGTCCATAGTAGAGCATCCACTGTGGAAGAGATTATCCAGTGTTAGGAACAATGCATCACTTTCTTCTGTGTCGACAAAAACCTACAAATCTGCACTACAGACAAATCTTAAATGTTATTCAACTAAATTTAATGGAAGTTTGTATACTGACTCCATTGTAAATGAATGCGACAGGGTTGCACACAGCCTGTAAACGGGTGTGGGACATGATGTAGCAGATGTGATTTTGGTACATTTTGTAAGAGTGGTAAGAGAATTCAGTGCCATATTGGGAGGATATTAAATTTCAACATCCTGGGAAAAGAAAACAGGAGATGAAATTGCTTAAGCCCTATGCTTTGCTGGATTTTTTTAGCTAGATACAAATCAATGTGATGATAGCTTCTGAACAAAACCATAAAAGTTTGGTGTTGGTGGGATTTTTTGTTTGGTTTGGGTTTTGGGATTTTTTGTTTTTGTTTTTTTCATGGAACAGCCTTTACCTGGTTTTCTAATTTTGCAAAGAAATCTGGGAAAATGTAGATGTAGAAGATGCCTGTTATTGCTCTTAGTGTAATAGCACTTTCAGGTTTTTCCTCTTATGACTTGCAATTAATGTAACCACATTCTTTGTACTAAATTTAAAATAATGTCAGAAAATAAAATTATTTCTCTTCTGTATCTTCTCTTTTCCACGGAAAAATACCTGGAGTTGCTTTTGGAAATGTTTTCCGATAAACCTGTTAGCACCTGGTGTGTTGAAAAATGAGAACACCCAGCACTTCCTGTGGAATATACAATAGTATATTCCAACAGGAGTCCTACATCTGAGGGTGAAATATTTAAATTACTCAAAATAAGTAAAAGTTGAGAAATATTTTCTCTGGTTTTGAAAGTAGTGAAAATAGTCTTATGTAGTGTTCATTTACATTTCTGATTTTTTTTACCATAAAATAAAATCTTTTTTCCATGAAAGAAAATCTTTAAAATACTTTGGTAAATCTAATATCTTAGCCAAATTGCAGCAAAAGACTGATATTTGTCTGGCCTAGTAATAAACTGAGAGTCACAAATAAGAAATAAAAATATTTTTGATAATTTGCTATCTTCAAAGTTAGGAGTTGCACGGCACGGGTATTGTAATTGTACTTAGTATGTATAACATGTATGCATAGTACACAAAATACACAATGATGTGATTAAAATATTTAATTGAACTCCTTGAATTGATTATATAGAGTGTATAGGTTTAATTGAAACCTTGAATTGATGATATAGAGTGTACCTTTTCTCAGCCACCCTGGAGCACTGAAAACTTTTTAATAATATGCTATTCTATAAGTATCTCTGATTCTTTTTTTTTTTTTCATGGCAATAGTGATGGGTAACCTTGTAAAGAATTCTTCAGAATAAACTGGTATTACTACTCTGACATGTACAATACACTGTCTGCAGTTATTTGATAATGAAATGTAAGCTATATAGTATTTATTTTATATTGTACCATATTCTGGGAGGAGTTTCTTGTTGCTTTTTAAATTTTTTAAATTTTTTAATCTTATTTCTCTTCTAGGTTGAACCAAACACAAAGCTTTTCCCAGCAACTTTTGTACAGCCTACAAGCACTAATTTGGTTCAGTTTGAACTTGGTAAATTAAAGGTACAAAATAATTTCTATAAAGGTGCTCTTTTAAATCTGTTTGTTTCCATGGAAATTCCTGCTCAACTGAATTTGTTTAAGAAGATTTAATCAATGGCATGACTTTTTATTTGACCTCTACATTTACTTCTGTAAATGTAATTATTACATGAAGTTAATTGTTCTACAAATCTGAACAGCATTTGTCAAAATAAACTAAAGTTATTTGGGGAGAACACCCTTACAGCTGGAGGTTTTTTTAATGGAATTTGTTTGTTGCAATAACTTATATATTTCTATGAGTTCTTTGCTATGAATAAATGATACTTTCTTTTGCTATCATAGGTTTATTCTTAATTAGATGTTACAAAAATAATTTTAATACACTTATTTGTTTCAGAATACCATGCCTTTATCAGCAGCAATTTTTAAAAGTGAAGAAAGAAATCCTGTTCCTCAGTGTCCCCCTCGCCTTGATGTGCAAACAATTACACCTGTTCTGTGGAGCAGGATGCCAAACAGCTTTCTAAAAGTGGAAACTGAGCGTGTCAGTGAACGTCATGGCTGGGTCGTGCAGTGTTTGGAACCTCTGCAAATGATGGCACTTCATATCCCAGAAGAAAACAGGTATATTTGGAAGGAACTACAGTGACTTGATGTGGACAAAAAGTATTGCAAGCTCATATCCAGGTCTTGGAGAATATTTACACTAGAGTTTTTTCGAATTTCTGATCTTATCTGCTATCATATCATATTCATGAAATTTAAGTAGATACAAGAGGCTGAATAATTTTAATGCCATGTGGTGACATTTCCATACATAACAGAAAACACAACTATTTGATTTTATTTAAGTTATAAAATAATATCTCTTAAATCTCTAGGTCTTTAAACATAGAGGTTTTCTCAGCTTAAAAAAACCCCAAACAAATATAAAGAACATGCAAGTACTATTTTGCTGATATTTTTCTGTAATAAAAACATATAATCTGTTCCTGTTTCATCTGCTCTGAATTTACATGAATTCAGTTTTTATGTTTTTATTGACAAGATCCTGACTTTCTTAGATTTTCATTAGGTTTTATCTTCAGAATGAAGATTATAAAGATGTATCCAAACTTCAAATATCATAACCAGTGACAAATCAAACTATAAGCAAAAGCGTAACAGAAAGATAATTTAAGTGCTGTACTTTTATCAGGTGATTTGCAGCTTCTTTTAATAATTTAACAACCAATGTTATTTATTGTTAATAAAACTGAATTCAAGAAAAGAGTAAAAAAATACTCTGTTTTGTGGAAGAAATGAAACAGTAATGCTCAATAAACTATAAAGGTACTGTTTAATGACAGTATTACCACAGAGTTTGGGCATTGCAAAGATATTTCTTTTAAAAACAAGCTCTAATTTACCATAGCTTCCAAAGAAGCTTGTCTATCTTACATTTTTCTTTTTCTTTTCTATGGAATACTAATTGTAAATAATTGTATTGAATAATTTCCACCATTTACTGTGGTTTAATGATGCATATACAATGAGGATGGTTAAACACGAACAAGTTGCCCAGAGAGGTGGTAGATGCCCCATCCCTGGAAACATTCAAGGTCAAGTTGGATGAGGCTCTGAGCAACCTGGTCTAGTTGAAGTTATCCCTACCTATGGCAAAAGGGCTGGACTAAATGATCTTTGGAAGTCCCTTCCAAGCCAAACTATTCTATAATTCTATGATTAGTCAGTATTAACCTTAATATTAATAGTTTAAAATGAAACTGACCAAAATGTGGAGAGATTATAAATCTTTTATTTTACAAAATTATTATGCATTAAATTGACTGGTGTTCTGTTTCTTTATTTCATAACAGATGTGTTGATATTTTGGAACTATGTGAACAAGAAGATTTGATGAAGTTTCACTACCACACTTTAAAACTCTATAGCTCAGTTAGTGCTCTAGGTAACACTAGGGTTGCTTATGCACTTTGTAGCCACGTGGACATATCTCAGCTATTTTATACAATAGATAATCAATACTTACCTGGACTCCTACGTTCCGGATTCTACGACTTGCTCATTAGTATTCATTTGGAGCATGCCAAGCAAGCCAAGCTCATGATGAACAATGAATTTATCATTCCAGTTACAGATGAAACTCGAACTATTAAATTATATCCTGATGAAACAAAGAAGCATGGTTTACCTGGGGTAGGGCTTAGCACTTGTCTGAAACCAGGCTTTAATTTTTCTACTCCATGCTTTATTGTGACCAGTGAAGAACGTCAGATATCCAGCCCAGAGATACCCCTTGATACACTTAAATCCAAGGCCATAAGTATGTTAACAGAGGCAGTACAGTGTAGTGGTACTCATATACGAGACCCTGTTGGAGGGCATGTTGCATTCCAGTTCGTTCCTGTTCTTAAACTGATAGCAACATTGCTCATAATGGGTGTTTTTGATGATGACGATGTGAAACAGGTATTGCTCCTCATTGATCCCAATGTGTTTGGAGATCACAAGGAAGAAACAGAAGAGAGGACAGAGAAGGAAGAAGTTACACAAGTTGAAGAAAAAGCTGTAGAAGCTGGGGAGAAAGCAATAAAAGAAACAAAAGCTCCTGCAAAGGGCTTATTGCAGACAAGATTACCAGAATCTGTTAAGCTTCAGGTGACTATTTAATATAAATTTATTACATATGTTCTACTATTGGTGAAAGAGAGGTAGTGCTTTTTGTCTGTTCTCTAGTTTGTAAGATTTGAAATCCTGGAGATCTTTATTTCACTTTGCCTTATGACCTCATGTTAATAACCACATTTGATGATGATGCAATTTTTTCTACGTGTATCTTCAGACTCAAAATAGTTACGCAAATACTTGTTTCATAGGTGCATTTTAAAAGAGGAAGGGTTGGACCAGATAATCTTTAAAAGACCCGTCCAACCTAAACTGTTCTATGATTCTATGATTTCTACGTGTTTTGAGTGCATGGAGTGCAAGACAGTGAATACAATATAGTATCAATCAGATAATAAAGCTGTATAAATTTGTCATCTTTACACTGTTAAAAGAAAAATATTGGGGAAAAAGTCCCTCACTTTTACAGTCTGTTGCAGTGTATAGTATTCACTGCAGTTCTTCCCAAATTAGAGTTTGTTAAACTCTTGAACTTAAGTCTGTTTTTTCTATCCTAGATGTGTCATTTACTCAATTATTTCTGTGACTGTGAGCTACAACATAGAGTGGAAGCAATTGTATCATTTGCAGACCGTTATGTATCAAAATTGCAATATAATCAGAAATACAGGTACAATGAACTCATGCAAGCCTTGAACATGTCTGCTGCTTTGACTGCCAAAAAGACTAAAGAATTTCGGTCTCCTCCTCAAGAACAGGTAATATTACATGAAATGTTGAAATGTTGAACGTGAAGATAAAAAAATTGTTTGTGATGATAAAGTAAATCTGACTTCTAAACTACCATTGGAACTGCTAGAGAACCAAAACTGAATTTGAAATAAAATTTATTAAGATGCTACAAAACACTGAATGTCAGAATGCTTATACCTGTACTCCAGAATTCAAACACTAAACCAAAGCTGACTTAGGATTTCTCAACAGTATGGAAAAATTGAACGTTACTGCCCAGTACTGACGAGCTGAGATTCATCCAATTCTGCAAGATGAAGATAATTTTAGTTGCTAAAAGTTAGCATGAAGTTAGTGTTGTGCTGGCATCTGTATGTTGGAAATAGTATTTTCTACCTCCAGGAAATAGCTTTATTATGAAATGTAACTGTATTTTGATGTTAATCATACTTAAAACTTACGAAGTACCATTGCTTTAGTATTTCCTTTAAGCTGTATTAGAAATCTGTGTTTTATCTTAATTTGATTATAAATTTTATTATAAACAGGTAAAGTTTGGCTATATATTAGAATATGTCTTAGGCTATCTCAGTGTTTTAACTATGTTTTAATTCCACTAAAGATTAATATGTTACTGAATTTTCAACTGGGAGAGGATTGCCCCTGTCCAGAGGAGATTCGGGATGAGTTATATGAATTTCATGATGATCTTCTAATTCACTGTGGTGAGTGGCAAGGTTTTGTTACAGTTTTGTTTATCTTTTTGACACTTTACATGAAAAAAATAACAGATCAGTTAAAAAAAAAATACTAGTTTAAGGTGGTTTTTGTTAGATGTATTACTGTCTACATGGTGACTTTCCTGACAGATTTGGTGCTTATTTCAAAAACAGGGGAAACCTGTGCATGGTTTGAAGTTTCAGTGTTATATATCTGTTAAATATTATCCAATATTATTCTGTTTATATATCAATTTTAGATTTAAATAGAAAAAGTAAAAATGATCCAAACAAGAAGGTTGGAGTACCTTAAAAGATTTATATAGGTATGTGTATGTGTACAAGCAGACAAATTATTGCTGTGAAGTTGAGCAGTAGAAAATTTAATAAAAAAACAGTAGTTGAGGAGTGCTGTTGCTACTTTAGCTTAGTTTCCTGGTGTATACATAACTGTGACCGTCAATCATTATAAAACACTGTTGCACTGCACATTACAGCAGGAGTTGCCCCAGTCATTGAATTTGAATTTCCTTAGGGTATCCTTAAGGATGAGCTCTATCAGATACCCTGTGCAATTTATGTGGGTTAAGAAATCACACTTTATAAGCGATACCAAAAATCTTTCATTAGTCTATTGAGATCTTAGTTTAATCAAGACAATCATGGAATTGAGTCCATTTACAATGATACTAACATTTATAGTCTGAGTCATCCAGTTATTACTGCTCATTCCCAATACTTATGCAGCTAAAACTGATATACACAAGCTTTTTTGTATCTACCTACTTGGTAGATATATTGGTAGTCACTCTTCCAGTGCATTTCTTGGTCCTATGGTTGATGGCACCCATCTTGTTTAAGAAGGGGACAGAGTCATTACAGTGAATTGACAGTATCTCGAGTTCTTCCCCAGGAAGAGCCAAGTAATGTTAACAGTTTCTTCCTTCTCCTCCTTCTGTTTGCCTGAGGTCACTTTTAAAGTTTACTAATACAGTCTGCTAGTTCTTTCTTCACTGGTTATCCCTAAAACCAGTTTTACCCAGTTCATGGAATTGCATTCTTCTAGTGACCTGTAATTAACATTTGGTGATTTCTGTTTGTAGCCATGGTGCCTCCCATACCATTCTGTGCTTGTATTGTTAAGGTTTCTGCTATCATCTTGTGCTGCTATTTCTGAGTACCCTATTAGAATCTCCAGTGACCATCAAGCTGTGATTTTGTGATAAGCCAGTTACCAATTTTCAACTACCTCAGCCTTAGCCTCAACCAAAGCTGAGTTGGTCAGTGGGTATCTAAGTTGTATTTCATCAGCTTATTTCTGAGGATATTCTATGAGACAGTATTAGAGGTCCTTAAAATCAAGATTTGTATCTGCAAGGTTTGCTACGTTATAGGTGGAAATTTAGTTGGTTTAACATAATTTGGTTTTGACAATCCTGTGTTAAGTGTTATTCATCCTTGCTTCTAAGTACTTACCAAAACCTGTTTCTTTCAGTCCAGCATTTTTCTTCCAAGTGTTAAATAGTTAATATCCTCATAGCTACTCCTCTTTCTCCCTGTTTTTATTAAGATAGATACAGTCATCTCCATTGTTCAGTCACTTAGAACTTGAGCTGACCTCTGTTTTTTCAAAGATTATGCCTGTTTGGCATCAGAGAGTTCTCTGAGACTCCAGGATGAAAATTATGGAAGACCCCCAACTTAGTTGGAAATGTCTTAACTCAGCAATATATTTATTTTACCTTGAAGTCTTGCTGCTGGTATTGAGTTAGCTTAGCTCTTGATCACTCTTCATCTTTTCAAGAGGTGAAACCCTACTGATTGTAGGTGTACTTTTATTATTGTTTATTACATTATAAATGTGTATGTATGTTGAATGAGAGAGAGAACTGAAGATAGAGAAAGCAGAGTCTCATGATTAAAATAGTTTAACAATCCTCTGGATTCTAAACAAAACCATATTCATTACTTTGTACAGATTTATCACAGGTGGTCGCTGCAGATAAATGCTCCTCACTATCTGTGTCCTGACTTATTCCTGAAAATAAGTACTAAGCAATCACAGCTGCAGATAAAATGAATAGGAGTTGTGCCTGGAATATTTAATCAGCTTTTTAATACTAAGTATACTTTGCAGTCTAAGTGGAAAAATATGTATGCAATCAAGTAATTAAAGGCTGTTTCATAATGAATATACGCAAATAGTCTGAATTAAAGTTACTCAGTCTTAATCCTACTATGTCCTAACTGTGAGTGGTTAATTTTGCCAGTGAAATAATAGTCCTCTATCATAATTTTGTGTGTAATTTCTTGGTTATAAACAAAACAAACAAATTTACAACAGATTTTAATGCACAATGTCAAATTGACAGTTATCTGGGATGGAACCATCTGTTCCAGTGCACAGACCTCTGCCACTTGAATTAAATGTTTAGCTAGTGGCAACATGAGATGGTCAGCTTCTGAATGGATTGCAACTCTTAAGAGGATGCAGAATGAATAATGACTGATATGGAGCGGTGAATGAGACCTCGTCTCCTCCAGTCCAACACTGTCTTAACTCATCATCCCAGTGCATTTCTTCTTCTCTGTCCATTTCAGTCTCTCAAGAGTTCTCCTACTAGTGTGTCTCTCTTCCTTCCAGGGCCTAGCTTTTTTTTCAATGCCAGATAGTTTTTTGCTTTCTTTAACGTCCTTGTTTGCTTTCTCTTTCCTCTCATTGGCTACATTTCCCATTCTTATTTTTTCCAAACTCTCACTGTAGTCTTCCTTCATTCTTAGCTTTTAATTTTGCCCAGCCGGTCTCACTTTTCCTATTCCTTAAATTCCATATGTAGTGTCCAATTTCAATTTCTACTTCTCTCATTCTCTCCCATCGCCTCTAAATTTTTTTCTTCCTAGTCATTTAATCACTCCTAGTCATAACTTTAACTCCTTCTTGGTTGCTGCCAGCAGCAAAGAGTCTCCAACCTGATACACATTTCAGTTTTTTCCTTTCCTAGTTTCTTTTTTTCAAACCAATTTTAGCCTCTGCAGTTTATTCTTTTCCCTCTGCTCCAACTTGTATCTCTTTAGTATTCCATCTGGAAATCTTTTCCTTTTCTCAATTTCAGTCTGACCAGCAGCAAAACAGCAAAAGCTTACATTTCAGCTCAGCACAATTAGCTCTGCTCTGAAGGGAACCTGCTTAGATGTTCTGTGCTTCTGCACATAACACGTGGTATCTGATCATGACTAAGAGGTGTGAAAGATTTGAAAATTCTTTGGATGGTTGTGAAACAATGTAGTGAACTGAACTATATTAAACTACCTTGTAAAATGACATCCTATCTCGTATACATTTCCATGAAAAACATATATCACCGGTATAATCTCTGAACATCTGCCTCTCTCACATGTTTGCTTTTGACTGCTAAATATCTCGACTGAAAAATTGTACTATATTGTGAGATACAGCCATACATTTCTTTCTTTAACTTACATTCTGCAACATGAAAAAAAGGATCACATAATTAATCAAATATGGGCCTGAATCAAAATTAATTGCCATAGTAGAATCTTTGAAAACATACCAACTTTTTTGGTCATAATACTAAAAAAAATAATACTATAAATATGGATATAAGAAGTATGTGTACCGAAATCAACATAATTTGAGGGGTGCTACTGTAGCTAACATGTTAGAGCTCCTGGTCTTACTACATTTTTCTTCCTGTAAGAAATGTGATGGTTAAAAAAAAATTCCTGCAGATATTTTAGTATTGTTTAAATATTGAAGGAGTTAATCTTCAAAGGTTAAGTTTTCTTTCTAATCAGTTTTATTATCTGCTAAGGTATCCCACTAGAAGAGGAGGAAGAGGAAGAGGAAGATTCCTCCTTGACTGGCAAACTCCGTTCATTAATGTATAAAATCAAAGGTCCACCAAAAGCAGAAAAAGTAGAACCTAAGGAGGAAGAAGAGAAATCTCCTAGTAAGTTTTCTTTCCATATAAATACTTCTGTGATGCAAATGTTAAAGGTGTACACAGTCAACAAGAGTGCATTTTCTAATGAAACTTTATAGCAGACTGAAGGAGTCTATTTGTTTAAGTTACTTCTGCCTCTTAGAACAATTATCCTACATACTGAACATCTTAGCTGCATGGTTAAACAAGAAGTTAAAATGAGTGGAAGATTTTGGATCCAGATCATTAATTCTGGGGTTGAAATTTTGCATATTCTTTAAAAAAAAAGTACACAGTTAATTATGGCACAATAATCTAGACTCAAGCATTCCCAACTTAAGAAGTTTCCATTCATATTTTTTAAAAAAATGCAAAAACTTTCTTCTTTACAGCTTAACTCCATTTCATTTTCCTTTACTGCATGCGAAGCTGTATACATCTCAGTACCAAGATATGTGACAAAATGGTTTTACAGTTCTTGGTTTTTGTATAAAAAGGGATAGCTCTCACTTATTTCACTTGATGGTGAATATATATACATTCATTAAAAACTAATGACTTGTTATTAAAAACTAATAACTTGTTCAGATTTATCTCAAGCATCACATAGCATGCACATATATATCCATACCCTTTCTGACCATATCCTTTCTGAATTTAAAGAATTATTCAATCTATCTGACTAATTAAACAGAAAGAACATCTTTATTTTCACAAGTACAAATTCTGTATTCATAAATGCTTGAGTTAACAGAATTTTCCAGAATTTAGTATTGCTATTTTTTTCCTGCTCTCTGCTTCTATAGATCTTTAACATGTGTCTGTAAAAACAGAGGGCAGAGAAAAATACTGTCTGTCTAGATATTATTAGTTTGCCTGAATTTTTTTCTCTATTGTTTATAAATCTCATTGCCCTTTACAGTTAGCTTTCATATTGTTTAAATATACACGAGAAGAACAGACGCCATTTAGCAGAATTTTTTTTAATGTTCCTTTCCGCAGTAGAATATTGTAGAGGAGGAGGACTGGGATATCCCTGTGTCTTTGCTGAGTAATATTAAGCAAATATTATTAAGTAAGAAAATTAACATTTCTTAAAAATATAAATATTTAACTAAAACCACTTGAAAGGTCTCTGTATATGTTTTGAAACTGAGATAAGAAGATAGACAATTTAATCCACAGACGTAGGAAAAATACATATGGAAGAATATATTACATCACTGGAAACAGTCCTTCCACCTAGCACAGCTTAATAAACACAACAGAGAACTGAAAGTAACTGTTGAAACAATACAATAATGTATTTAAAGTTAATTAGTTTAATGATGTGGAAGAGTAGGCCAATAGATAGTCCTTGTTCTTCCATTTTTAAATATGTAATGCCCATGGCAGTGACTCATAGAACCACAGAATGCCTGAGGCTGGAAGGAACCTCTGAAGGTCATGTGGTCCAACCCCTTGCTCAAACAGGGCCCCCTAGAACAGGTTGCCCAGGACCATGTCCAGATGGCTTTTTAATATCTCCACAACCTCCTTGGTGAAAGTGTGCCAGCGCTCAGTCACCCTCATTCCTTTTGTTCAGATGGACCCTCCTGCATTTCAGTGTATGCCCATTGCCTCTTGTCATGTCACTGGTCTCTGAAAAGAGCCTGCCTCTGTTTTCTTTATACCCTCCCTTCAGGAATTTATATACATTGATGAGATTGCCCCTGAGCCTTCTCTTAGTTGATGCTGAGTAGATAGTTGATGAGCTTTCTTCTTAAAAAGGCCTGACACTACATGTTGCAAGGCACTGTGGAGGTTGGTTGGACTTGATTCATATGATGTATGTATCTGCTGATAACATATATATCCATTTTGTATGCTGTAGTAAGAGAAACCTGTGCAAAGCTTGAGAGATGTTAACTAATGGAAGTTTTTACTCTTGAATTAAAGTTAGTTCTTGTAAGAAACATAAATGTAGTTGAATCAAGGTTATTCTATGCACAGAGGAATGATAGATAAATTTAGCACTGTAACTCATAGTTTTTGTAATACAAAAAGATGGAAAGTTTGTTTTGTATGCAAAAATAAATCAAAACAACATTTGTTGTTATTTATATGCAAATGCCATATGCTTGCCATATTTCAGATCTGTCTCCTTATTACTTTACCATGCCTGATGGCATAAAACAAGCAGAAAAGGAGACTAAGAATTTGTTCCAGAAAGTTTTCTTCATATTCCTGTAACCAGATTCAGAAGCATTATCCAGCAAATATTTGAACACTTATAGGGTATAAGATATTTTGTTATATACCTGTATACAGAGTAAAAAAAAAAAATTTAAAAATTATTACATTCAATCAATTTTAACTTGTAAATGCTGCCAGAGCTTATAAGAAGTACTATACTGTATGTGAACCATTTTTGGCTCTCTGAAATGCTGCATTTTCAGAGAAACCAAGCATATTCATAACCACAGAGGGATGTCATATATAGCAGCTGCTCATTTCTTTATAATGCTTTGAAGAATATTATTTAGTTGATTAATCAATTTAAGAAATAATGCACATGCATTAAGTAATTGATAACTGCATGCAGTCATTTTAGCAATGCAAAGCTGAAAATAGACTATTGCATGTATTGCAAGAGACACTACTTTTAATTAAAGGGAAGCACTGAAATAAAAAAAAAATGTAACAGATACCTTCCTGTAACTTTTGTTACAGAGATTAGTTTAACCTCTTTGCTACTTGAGAGCAAAACAGCTTGTTTGTAATCAGAAGACAGGACAGTCCTACATCCTGAAGTTATCTCAAGTTCTGTCTGCTTCAGCTGAGTAGCAATTTGTCATTATTATTTAATCTCTGCAATATTTCATGTTGCATTTTGAAGGTATTTTGTTCTTTTGGCTCTACTTCCTCTAATAAATTATTTATTGTAGCTGATTGTGTTACTGGCACGGAAAGACTAGTAGAAAAACAATGTGTTCATATTCCTTCCTACTTCTACCTCTTCTTAGGGTACATATAAACACAAACATACATACATGCACATAAACACACCAAAACACTTGAAATCAAAGACTTTTTTTTCTGAGCGATATTTCTGTATGTGTACATACCCTATTCCCTAACACAGGAGGAGTGTTCATGGTCTAAATAGGCTAGATGGCTTCTGAGCTTACAATTCCTTCACCAGCTGCATGAGCATTTTGTTGAGCCTCTCTGAGCAACTCACCCGGCTTTCACTGCCATGTGTTACCCCCAGTGAGGTTGATGTGTAGTGTGAATCTCAGAAATTTTGTCTTTGCTGTCATATTTTTATTAGTTTTCAATCCTTAGTAGTGACTATGGACGATGAGGAAATAAGTAAGGCAAAAAGCCAGATTCCTTCAGGTCTTTCTTTAGAACATAAATTTTTGCTGAGGTTTCTCCTTGCCTTTGTAAATGAAGATTGGATTTTGCCAGCTCTAAGTTTCTATAACACTATTTAAATATCATGTGCAGAGTTGTCCAAGTGACTAGAGGTTAGTCTTCCAAACAACAATGGTAGTAAATGCTCCTCTTCTGTTTCCAATTTGCTCAGTTTGGTGATAGGTCCTTGTACAGACCCAGAAGAGTTAATTTCATTTCAAACTTAATCATTTCATCAAGAGTTGTGTGAGATTAGACAGCAATGCTAATTTATAAGTCAGGACAGCTCTTACATGATCTACTTGTTCTGTAAAGCACCGGAGAGGGTTTATCCTGCCCTGAAAGCATATTTTGGTCTGTTAAGCTTGATACTAGGCTGTAAATACATTAAATCTTATAATAATCTCATGTGCTGCATGAAAAAGGGTTTTATTCTCCAGTGACTCATCTGTTACCATCTGCTTTCTCTTTAATGGTAGTAGGATCTACTCAGTATCTGGGAATTATCATTTCTTCTACAGGCTTCATGCAGATTCTGTTGTCAGGAATCAGGAAGCATTGACTCCTAAAGCCTCAGGGCACATGGTGTTTGGTCCTTGGAACAGAGAGAGCAGTGTACGTATTTCATATACTGTAGCTTTGGGTCGCAAGAAATGCAGATTGGACAAGTGATTCCACAGTGTCTGTTTTTCTAGAAATTTCAGATAATCTCTTCAGGCTTGGGCTTCTCCTTGGAGTGACGTATAGTACAAATATACATATGGATGAAGTAATTCAAAGGACAATGAAAAATTCTATCATATTTATATTATGTTATGTTGTATTATATACTTGACTGTAGCTGGAGACTGTGACATATGTAATCCATGTGTGCACTTCCCCTTTACCCCCAGGAAATCTGGAATTCAGAGAGTGAAAGGAAATGGGTGCCTGAGGTACCCCAATCCTCTTATGCATGAAGAGGGGTGGGGACTTTGCCAAGGCTAAAAGTCTCTGGCTTCGAGCATCTGGTCATATATACTTAGGGTGTGAACATTCGTAGGAAAGTATTTTCTACAAGGAAATCTTCCTTTCCTCTAAGCATGCATTCATATCTTCTCACAAATGGACTTTTGTCTTAGGAGAGCAAAGCCAGCAATTTAAACTAGTGTTAATGATGCATTAGTAAAACTTGGTTTTAAAAACAAGCTAGAACTCACAGAATAAATACATTGAGTTAATAAGTTAGTGTTAATTACGAAGATAAGACTTTTTTAACTTTTGTAACAAGTCATAATTTAGATAAGGCATATATATGGGGAACTCATCATGCAGCCTTGAAAGATTGTTAAGGTACTGCAATTTCTTGTTAAAACTTAAAAATTGGAAAAACATTAGCAACTATTTTGGCTGGTTAACGATGTCCCCATGCCCAGTATTCAGATTGCTCCCAGCTTCTCTTACAGATTAACCTGCTGCCTGCCCTTCATCTCCTTCCTCAAGCCAGAGGCTTGTGATATGATAAAAGGGATAGTACCCCTTGCACACAAGAAATGGCAGACATTTTAAAGATAGTGATTGATATATCTGGTCCTTAGTTTTTTCTGCAGGTAGAAATTAAAGGAGATCAATGATCTTGTTCATGCCTTTTGGGAATAGAAACTATGGCTGTCAGGCTCACTTAACTATGGCTTTTCAGGTGCCTCTAACTTAGGGAGGGTTTCTGCTATTATAATTTGAATCTTTCATGTAGGACCATATGTTCTGAAGGTATACACTTGATTACTGGTCCTAGAACAGAAATCAAGACATAGAATGTACTGGCTTGAACAAATGCCCTAATTCAGTTCCCACATTAAATCAATGAATGATGGATCTTTCAAAGAGTGTGGATATATGAGAACATTTGTGTGCAAGTGCTAAACATCTGTTGAATAATATCCACTGCATGGTCAAGAAAAGAAAAGATACAATCGTAGCATTAAGTTGAAGAGTCATAGATTGTGTCCTTTAAGACTTTGTTCCTTAGAGTGCTCCGTGCACTGAAACCACAGAATGTTAACTTGACTTCCCACTGGCTGTTGGCTCCATTTTTTTCTTGCTTTTTTTTTTTTTAAATTTTGGTTATAGAACATCTTGTTGCAGTACAGTATATTTGTGATTTATTGGCAGTCAAAAAGAATCTCAGACTATTGCTGACTATTATTGAGATCATGCTGGAGTCATCACGTTTGATTTTTTTTCTCATCTATCCTCATCTTTTGGCTGAGTTGCAAAGAGATCTTTTTCCTCAAGTGCAACAAACAACAGCTTCTTCATTTCAGTATAGAGCAAAAGAGGTTAGAAAAGATTAGAAGGGAGGAAACAACAGTTCCTGTCACAATACATCTGTTTAGAAAAAGAGACTCTAAACAGATTCTGCTAAACCTAAACTAAGATGCACAGAAGGTGTAAGAGCAGCCTAGAAAGAACTATATTCTTACTTCCTGAGGTTTTAAACTTTAATGTCTCTTAAAGGATTATTAATAAAGTGTTTATCAAATGTTGCAGGTGTTTCTGACTTTCCTCTTTGCAGGAGTTCAGCTAGAAGTCCTGAGAGTGTGCTGCTGTGCTTAGATGTGGGCGAGTATATGTAAGTGGCTGGGAATGGCAACACAAGAGGTCTCTAGTTTAAGGCAGTAGAAACTGGACTGCAAAGTTCTGTATCTTTAAGAAATATTCAGATAAGCAATTAATCATGGGAATGAGTGTTATACACTCAGAGCTACAAGCGCTAAGCAGACTCTACAGTTTTAGAATAATATGAAGGGTAAGACAGGCTGTAGTGATTCAGATCCATCCAGCCCAATACCCTGTTTTCAAACAGTGACCACAAATGGGTATCTAGGGACAAGTTAGAATAAAACAATCAGATATGATACTTACAACTTTAATACTGTCCCAGTCCCCAGTTATCTTCATCTCAGGAGATTTCCTGAGTCTGAAGAGGTTTGTCTTTTTATATCGCCACTGTATCTTTGTGACAGATATTTGTGTAGTCTCCACTTGAGCAAATGTGAACTTTTAGCAACTGCCACATTTTTGTCAGGGATTTTTAGGGTTCTGTCATCCATTATGTGAAGAAACACCTTTCTTTTTGGCTTAACTCCTGACTTGTGAATGGGCTTCATTTGATGGTCTCTTCTTGTGTTGGATGAAAAGGTGTGACTGAACTATGGATTAACATAATGGCATAATGTACTTTGCTGTAATTCCGTTCTTATTAAATCCTGGCTTTTGATTTGATCTTTTTGACTGCCAGTGAATTTGAGTTGATACTTATAATTGAGCTGATATTTTTATGAGTTGATCAGGGAGGTCTTCCTCTTAGAGATATTAAAAAACCATCTAGACACAGTCCTGGACAACTGGATCTAGGCAGCCCTGCTTGAACATGGGGGTTGGATCAGGTGGCCTTCAGAGGTCCCCTCCAACCTCAACTATTCTGCGATTTTCATGGATCTATCTGCCAGATCGTATCTCTGTTAACATCTCATCATTCTATTTATAAATGAGGACTCATTTTATTTATGGTGACTTTATTTAAACTGAATTTCATTACCATTTTATTGCCCAGTTTTGTCCTTTTAAGTTCTGCATTTTTTTCAGTTACACTCATATTTGCTATCCTGCATAACTTTGCATCATCAAACTTGTTTGCATCTGCTTATCCCCTTCTCAGGTCTTTTAGGGAAGGAGAGAACTTAACATCACACAACACAGCATGGATATGTGCAGAACATCACTGCTTTTTCTCCCTCTTTGTGACCACTACCATTTAGTTCTACTTTCCATTTCTTATCTTTCAGCTAAAAATTCATCCATGCAAGGACATGGCTAATTGATTTCTCTAAGGCTATTTGCCATACTGCCTAAAAGTAATTACATATAGCAACATGCTACTTAAAAGCTTTATCAGAAGAAAAAAAATTAAAACCTTCAAAAGTTCTAAAATCTAACACTAACACTTGTTATGGAAGAACACTTTCAAAACTCCAGAGAGAAGCTCTAAAAAAACACAGGACCATTTTGTTGCAATTACAGGTGGGAACCTCTGCACAGACAATTCAATATCAGGGAAACAATTTGTTTTTCATTTGTTCATTTCCTGAGAATGCATTTCCTGTGGAATATTATGTTTGTACTAAAAATTTTAATAATCTTTTGGCTATATGTATAAATATCTGATGGCTAACTCAAGTGTATAAAATCACACTCATAACTGAGTCAGTATTTTTGTTGCCGAAGTGGAAAATATCTATTTGGAGTGAATCACGTGGTACTTTCCCTCATCAAACAAAAAAAATCCAAAACATCACATTATTTTGAAAGTAATATTAGTTTGAATCCAACAAAAATTATATATTTCTGGCAATACTAAGGAAACAAGGAACTATATTTGTAAAACAAAAAGACAAAAATTTGTTCACATTTTGTCCTTTAGACTTGTGAGGGGGGGCATCACCTGAGATGTCAAAGACCTAACATAATTTATATATGTTATATTTATGTAACCAGAAATCAGTGACACTCAATGAGTTGGAAAGTTGTGGGAAATTATTAGTTATTCTAGGAAATAAAAGTTTAGTGCAAAGAAGAGGAAATTGCCTTGTTGCTCTGAAAGAAGAAATTGTTTTGATTGAAGCAAGTTATACAGTCTTTTGAAACAAAGCTTGTTTAATGTTTTCATTCATAACATGCCTCTAAGAATAGGGTTGTCTTAATGAAATACAGAATCTGTCCCCACAGAAAGGAGCCTGTAATTGAACAAAATCTGAGAATTAATGCTGGTTTTCTATAAATACATCATTAAGTAAACTGTAAAGGAAAAGAGTTAGCAAGTGAAAGGATAGTGTAGACACAAAAATAAATGGATATACACTAGCTATAAACACTTTTGTGCTGGAAAGTGGGAGGGAGCAGTTCTTACCATTGGAAGAACTTTGGGAAAGTGAAGAGGTAACTCTGCTGGAAATAGAGGAAAGAAATTTGCATTGTTTTTATGAAGGAAGGTGATTATTCATGTTTTACTTGATATCAACAATGAAAATTTGTTGAAACAAGGACTGGAACATGTGTTTAGTTTTCAGGTAAGTTTCCTAAACTCCGGGCTCAGAAAAAATTTTTCAAGGTCATTGAACATGTAATGTATACAACAGAACTGCCTCAAGCAATGTATATTTTGTAGTTCCAAACAATACAATATTTTTAGATAATGTATTCCCAAGTAACAGTGACTTTCCCCAAACAGATGGGAAATACAGATTGAATTCCCCCATTCTAAGTCAGTTTGTATCTCCTGCTCCTTAGTGTGTTTGCATCATCATACAATTCTGAGATGTTTCCAGGTAGATCATCTTTCTGAAGACAATGTAGATCCTTTGTTTGAACAACAAAATAGCTAAATATTCATCAAGTGAATGAGTAGCAAAAGCTGCTCAAATCACCCTGGCTAGGCCCTGAATTGGATATTTGATTTTAAAAGGTGGCTATCTCATCCTCCCTTCTGGCAGTTTTGTAACTTTAGAACAGGTTTTATTTCCTTCTCCCCCCTGGCAAAATTGATTGGCAAGCTGAGCTCACATTCGTGAATATTTCTGCTGTAATTGAACTCGTACTTGTCAGCCAATAAACTGTTTACTGAAAACTTAATTATCAATTGCTGTATTCCAAACCTAGGCTGATGATCATCAAAAACATGACGTTTCCTTGGCATTATAAAATTAGATTTCAGTCATTCCTAATGAAAAATTGTTTGTGCTGCACTTAGTGCTATTTTATAAATCTTGATATAGAAACGAAGGATAAATTAAAAATTTAAATAGAGCATTTAACTTACAAGGATGATTCTTAGAGTCATGATCAGCTCAGAAGTTTTCATTGCCAACAATGCTGGTTTTGACTTCAATGCTAAGTAGATGTTTCTTGGTTTCTGTCTCTCAAGAGCATAACACTTATCTTGAAAGATCTAAAAGTTATTTTTCCGATTGAAAAATCCTGTTCAGTCTGCTTGTTTTCTTTTGCTCTCCTACAAGTGCCTCATTGTCTACTGTTATCTAATATTTTACTGTAACACATTTTTGGCATTTTTTGTTGTTGTAATAGCTAGTAACATTTTATGTATTTTATCCTTATAGCTACGCTGAAAGAACTCATATCCCAGACTATGGTGCGCTGGTCCCAGGAAGATCAGATTCAAGATCCAGAATTAGTTCGAATTATGTACACCCTCCTTCGTAGGCAATATGACAGCATTGGTGAGCTACTGCAAGCTCTGAGGAAAGCCTACACTATTAGCGCTGCCTCTGTGAAGGATACCATTAATCTACTTGCAGCACTGGGCCAGATTCGTTCACTTCTCAGTGTCAGGATGGGAAAAGAGGAGGAATTGCTAATGATTAATGGATTAGGGTATGGAATCAACATAATTTTATTTTTTAATTTATGCAAAGTTTTTTGTAATATTATAATATATATGTATTATATATATCCTTTAATTTTAGATCCTGGATGAAAATTACTGCTGTACTAAAATGCAGATATGTACCAGAAATTTTCATTTTCACAGATATTTCCAAGATGGCTTCAACTGATCTCCCTAGCAGTTTCAAATGTGTCAAAAAAACTTTCTATGAATGAAGGTATTTTCTCATCTAAAGAAAATGGACACTTTTTTACTATAGTTAAGGCTAATGCTTAAAGCTTCATCAAAGTACATGGTTTAGCAGCTCTGGAGAAAAGAGATAACTTAAATCTTTATTGGTGTCAATACTGCATCTTTTCTAAACTTAAAGCTCACGTTATATTTCATGCATGAGTGAATAAACTTGCTGGTGTCTTTTTAATTGGAAAATTTGTGCAAGCAGTTAGGTAGACCCAGCAAAGTGGTATTGTAATCTGAAATATTTCAAACTGCTTAGTATTTATTATGTCATCATCAATGGCAGCTTAAAATATTTGAACATGGAAGACTGCTTATTTTATCCTTTATAACATTAAAATTATAAGAAATTGCTTTTATGTAACACCTGCTGATGTGAGAATTTTTTCTCCATCTTTGCTATGAAGTTACCTCTGTTAAGCAGCAGTATTATGGTGCATGCCTGCATGTCTATTACTCCTCTTATGTGAAAAATTGCTGGATTAGACCATTTAATGTTAGAAGGGGAAAAAAATCACAGAAAATTATTTACTTTGATTAAAATGGTGTATTTAGAAAAAGAGAAACTGATAGTAAGATTACCTGAGACCTTTATTTATTTCTCCTTCATCAAGAACATTGAACAATTTCTCTTCTTTGCAACAGTTGTAAGGAACTTCCAGTATTCTTACTATTTCACTGTGAAAGTTGCATTGTTTTTTGTAAAAATTACAGAGACTGATCTCTTCAGTAGAATTGAGAAAGTCATGGTAACAACTCATTAGTTAGTATGTGACAGTATTATCTAATTTCTCCCTGATGCTGAGTTCGTAAAGTTGCTGAGAATTCTAGGAGGGGTAAAGGGAAAGTTTTGTCTAAAGTCAGCGTGTGCGTAGCCCCCTCCCAGAGATGCTGTATTATGAGTCATCTTCCATTCCCAGTTTTCTGTATTTCTTTAAAGCAGGCATGATGTCTGTTATTTGCCATTTGTTTTTAACAGGTTGACCTAAAACGTAAGAAATCCCTGTGTTCCCTATCGAAACACATAAATTTTATTCTGGATTATGAAACCAATACAGTGAATTCTAGAACATGTTGAGAGGATGGTGGGCAGAGTGAAAATGTTAAAATATTCCTATTTAGGGGGACTGTATGACTGCATGCCATTTTACATCTTCTGACAGATGGTCTTAATTTTGGAAATATTGATGAAACACATTTAACAGATAACCTTGAATATTAAGTCTATTTATTGTCTTCTACTTTGTGAATTCAGAAAATTAATTATGGGTGCTACTGTAGAGGCAAGATTAGATTTAGATTTCTTATCCTCGTTCTCTACTTAAAACATAACAGAATATATACTTTTTCATTTAGATTGTCATAGAATATATTTTTTCTTTAAATAGAACTGGTGGTAAGAGCAATTTAAAGATGAAGAATACCATTTTGAAATAACTTAAAAGTTTAGATTCTTATTTTATAGAATTCATGAAAATTAGAGGAATGACAGCATATTGAAATGTGAAGCATTTCGTTGTCAGGTGGTTTTTATTATGCTGAAATCTAAGAATTTAAAATGATGTTACTACAGTGAATACATATTTCTGAAATCTCTAGTAATGCATCATTGATTTAAATTAAAATGGTGTTTCTTAAAAACATATTGTTGCCTTTTCTTCTATTTTAGGGATATAATGAACAACAAGGTGTTTTATCAGCATCCTAACCTAATGAGAGTCTTGGGTATGCATGAGACTGTTATGGATGTGATGGTGAATGTGCTTGGAGGAGACAGATCTCAGGTAATTTCACTGTAATTTTATTGTGTGTTTTCCATTTTGAACCTTTCCAAAAGTATGCTAGGATGTTTAAGAAGTATCTGAAGACAAATAAATCTCCCTTATGTAAGATATTTTGCTTGTTCAAACTGAAATACTGATTAATATTAAATATAGAGCAGTTTTTATAGTACTAGAGGGAGCCCAGCATTCTAGGACTTGATGTTTAAAAAGTGAGCAAAAGGTTATAGGTGTTTCATTTGTCTTTTAATAGGACTTTAAAAGGTTTTGTTCTTATTTTATATCAAATATGTGCGTTATCTGCATTTATGGGAGGTGTATCTCTGCTAGGAAAATATACCTCTTCATCTCAGATAGTTATTACCAAGAGACTATAATAAGAGACTAACACCAACTTGTATTTGAATTTAAGCATTCAAAGTTTTGAATTGAGCAATAATTTTCTCGCAGTGTTTTATTTTTCCATTTCTTAGTGTTATACTTGAATATATATATATGTTTTGGTTCAAAGGCAGAGTGGCACAAATTTTGAGAAGCCTAACTGGATATTTAGGTTACTGAACAAAGTCAGAAGTGAAATGGGCTTCTTTCTTCTCTTTGCTTATGCCTGATGTTTTTATGCTATTGCCTCCCTCCCCGAAAGAGGGGTATCCTCTGCTCCCAGTACTGCTTATCTTGTTTTCTTTTTCCTGGCCACACACTATCCTTACATATTTGGAGCAATTTTCAGCACATTTTACTACCTTGTGCTTATCATGTCTCTGGCAATTTTTCTTTACTTGAATGCCTTCTGCGTGCAGCTACACCTCTCTTTGGTGACATAGCTCATATACTTCTGGAAAATACTTTTACATTGTGTCTATATTTGTTATACCGTCGCAGCGTTACAAACTATTCACATAGTGGTTTTAGTTATTTTGTTTTAATATGATCACATCTAAGTTCAAGGTAAGCTATAATTAATTATACAGTGATTAATACTTTGCTAATTTATAGGTGTCACAGCCCTCTGTTTTTGCTACAACCTGTACATAAACAAAAGAAACAAAAAAAACCCCCAAACAACCAACAACAACCCCACAACCTTCTAATTTTATCAGAAATGTTTTTATATGAAATTTTAGTAACACAGATCTACACAAATACTTTACAGGAGTTACCATGGTATCCTTCAAAGGGAATGCAGACCTAGAAATTACTTGGTAACCTGGTGTTGCGGTATTTAATGTGTCTGGCCACCCAAACTGTCCTATTTTATGTCTCTGTCTTTCTGAAACACATGAGGAGAGTTAGGTACCTCAGAAGGAATACAAAACATCACCTACTGAATGGGAACTGGCATAAGAGTAGAAATCTTATGAACTATGGACAAGAAATAGGGTGTATTTGGAATTTGATCTATTCCAAACTCTGGTGCCTCATTTTCTCCTTAAGGGTGGAAACTTCCAGATACTCATGATTCAGAACCCATAATTTTTTATGGAGTCAAATGGATATAGTCATGTTATGAAATAACACAGCAAGATTTATTAACAAAGTGTTTTGCACACCGTTAGCACAGGTTTTAGATATTGCAGTGGGGAGGTTTCACAGAACAATCCATTGGGCTGGGAACTGTACAGGCAGAGAAGTGTTGCTTCTCAGTTCCAAGCATGAAGTTTCCTGCATGGGAACTGCAACCTTGCAGGGAGAGAAAGTATTGCTTTTAAAATTATTATCATCTGCTGTCTGTTGATCTTCCACTGGCATGCTTCTAACCTGGCAGGGAAGTCTCACTTGAAAGGTTGTCGACCCTTGGTAGAACCAGTAGGCTGTAATCTGGAAAAGGTACACGTTTGTGCATGCTGCAGATATTTCACTCTGCCAGGTAGTGTATTCTTCTGAATAAAAAGGAGCAGGGCCAGAAACAGTGAGCATGCCTTGATCAGCTAAGGTTTTGTATACTCATTTGAAATTCTGTGTGGGTTTGTCCAGTGAGTCACTTCTGTAGAGTTCAAGTATAGTGGTGGCATCAGGCACCAGAACACTGCTTTTCCTGCCTTCAAGCAAGTTCCTCATGGCTGGATTGTTAGTATGTTCCCTTTTGTTTTCTCTTTCCAGCTTCATGGACATTTCTTTCTGTTCATTGTTATAGCTTCAAGAGATGGATTGAACAACCATGCAATGTAGTCTCTGGTTTAGGGACTGGGCATTTTCCTACGTCGTGGCAGCAGATGGTTTAAGCTAGATCTCCAGCTTCTTAGATGAGTGATTTTATCATGAGGCTGTATTGAGACATGTAGTGACAGTGTTATAGTCACACTTCTCTGAAGGAATGGTGAGAAGGTAAAAACTTGTCAGTTCAAACTGAAGAAAATTTATGCTTCTTTCCAGCTGTGCTATTAATAAATGAGTGAGAAACAGATGAGGAGATCTGTGGAATATGGTGTGGCTGAAGGTATCTCAGTACCTTAGAAGTATTTTGCTAATACTGGCTACCAAAACCCTGGAAAGATACTTCATTGGTGAAATTTATATCCCAGAAAATACTTGGGCAAGCTTTCAACATTTCCATCACAGTTAGGTTTTTAGTGTGCATCTTAATGCCTAAAATAGTTATTTAAGTGTCTATGTCTTTAGATGTTATAATTTTGGAATGCTAATGTCATGTTGGCTTCTGGTGTTGGTTGTTCATTCATTTTCAGAGAATCCTGAGCAATGCACTTTTTGGCTGTCAGGATTGAATTGTTTTACTACAAAATTATTTCTTACTGATTGAAAGTTTTAGAATTCCATATTCATATGTATTCCTGTCAATAACGATGTCGTGGTTTTGCCTCAGCTGGCAGCTAAGCACCACACAGCCACTCGCTCACCCTGCCCCCCCTCCCCCCCCCTCCAGTGGCATGAGGAGAATGAAAACAAAAATTCCTGGATTGAGATAAAGATAGTTTAATGGGATAACAAAAGAAGAGAATAATAGTAGTAGTAGTAGTAATAACAACAACAACAACAATACTAATAGTGATGGACAAATGCAATTTGCAATTGCTTACCATATGCAGAAGAAAAATAAAACAACTTGATGCCCAGTCCATTTCTGAGCAGCGATCTCACCTCCCAGCTAGCTTCCCCAGTTATATAGGGAGCGTGACGCTCTATGGTAGGGAATCTCCCTTTCGCTGCCCTGGGTCAGCTGTCCTGGCTGTGCTCTCCCAGCTTCTTGGGCACCCAGCAGGGCGTGGGAAGCTGAAAAGTCCTTGACTTAATGTAGACACTACAACTACCTAGCAACAACTAAATACATCAGTGTGTTATCGACATTATTCTCATCCTAAATCCAAACCACAAGACTATACTGGCTACTAAAGTTAATTTTCTTTCTATCTATCTATCTCAGCCGAAACCAGGACAAATGAGAAATTTCTAAAATGACAATTTTTAACAGTATTGCTGTTACTGTAATTTTCTAAAGTTATGTCACACATTCTGTTAAAATAGCTATAAATTTGGGGGGTGGAATCTTTGTTGAATGTTTTCATGAATCATTAATTTTCATCTACCCTACATTTAAAAAACAAATCATCATATATAATGCTGCTTGTACATAATAGCTCCTTCTTGACTGGAATAGGCCAACAAACCACATATATTAGCAAAAAAGCTGTGCTGAAGTAAAACTACAGTTCATCAAGTCTCTGGAAGTTAGGAAGTGCACCTGATGTCTTGAAAAGATAATACATATCATATAGCTTTTAATTACATAATAAATTTTTTTGCAAGATTGTTGTGTCATTAAATGAAAAGGTTGCACTTCTCGGAATGAATTAGACTTATGTTGCTAAGGCAACATTTAAAAAAGAATTCTTATTGGTTTTGATGGTCATGAATTTTCTCATTAATTTTGTGAGTATCCTTAGGACATAGAACTGCAACTGAACTTGACACTTTTTAAAAACTGCTATATAATGGTAAATTTAATAAATCAGATAGGAAAACCTTTAAACAAGCATCAAATATCTGTCCCATGATTTTTGATCTTGTTCTTTCAGCTCCTTTCAGTAAAATGTGAGAATGGCATAGCTTGTTCATCTCAGAAGATGTTATGACTAATTGCAACTTGTGAAACATTATTTCATGAGTGCTACAGATGAAATTATTTTATTTTCAGAGGAGAAATCCTTGCACATAAAGTGCAGCAAGTAAAGCGTTGGGATTTTTTTGTTTTAAAAGCATTGGATAGCTAATGCAATTTAATGTTTTGTTTCATCTTATCATTGAACAACATAGGGGTCTTCTAGAAATGTTTTATATGAAGACTGTATATTCGTATTGTAATATGGGAGAAGAAACTAAAGTTCTTGAATATTCTTTATTCTGCTAAGACCTAATGTTGGGGTTGAGCTTGTGATCATAATGCTATTAAGATAGAGTTTTTGTATGACTGCATTTGTTCGTCTGCAAATTGCTCTGATGAGAATTATTTCTCTGGTTTCTGCCCTTACATGTCCTCTGTAGTCCTCTGCAAAAAGATTTTTCAATATTTTAAACTTCATGAATTGCCTCATGAATACAAAATTTAAAAGGAAACGCAGGTCCTTTCTTAAGTTAGAAGCAAAACTGTCAGCTGCTTATCACCTTGGTAACTTCACTGTACTTTCCTTGTTAGGAGCGCAGGAAGAGGAATTGGAACAGATTGGTAATTAACATATTTCACTGCTTTATCAACTTTCTTCTCCAGCAGATCGTTTTTCCTAAGATGGTGGCAAGCTGTTGTCGATTCCTGTGCTACTTCTGTCGAATTAGTCGTCAAAACCAGAAGGCCATGTTTGAGCATCTTAGTTACTTACTGGAAAACAGCAGTGTTGGACTGGGTACGTCATGTAGCTCTAACAGCTAAAAGCAAGACCAGGAGGAACTGCGATATCACAAGACTAGTATCTAATTTGCATAGCAAGTTGAAGCATGTGATGAAACCTCTGTGAAGCTTAAACCACTTTGTGGTTTCACCTCTAACTGTTTTTTTTGGGTTTTTTCCCCATTTACTTTCATCCTTATGTTTCTGTGAATTGTATTAGAAACAGAATAGTCTAAATCCATGCTTTTAAATATTTTGAAAAATTCAGGATTAAATCCATACAGTTTGGCATTTTTTTTCCATTCAATATAGTTGTGATTGGAAACCTAAGAAACAAAAAAACCCAGAATTTGTTTTAACATAATTCAAAACAGTTAACCATGTTCTTAATTGAAAAACAGCCGTAGAACGTACTATTAATATATTTATGTTCTAGATTCCAGTGTGATTGCTGCCCTCTGCTGCATGACTGTGATTACTGCAAATTTAATTTAATTTATTTATTGTGTATTAACTTTCTTCTGCAGCATTTCCTTCAATGAGAGGTTCAACACCACTAGATGTTGCAGCAGCCTCTGTAATGGACAATAATGAGCTTGCACTAGCATTGGAGGAGCCAGATCTCGATAAGGTAAGTGAGCACTCTGACCTGTTTACCTATTTATTAAAGGACGTACTTGTGCTAGAAGGGAAAAGGGCAAGTTTGACCATAGTAATTTTTGGATATATCTCCTCAGAAATACTTTCTCTAGATATGTGCTGTCTCAAGGTAAGATTGATTGACTGGTATTTTCCCTGATTGTGTTGGGTTTGTGTGACAAGGTTTCGGTAGCAGGGGGGGTGGGGCTATCCAAAACATATCCCCACACTAACTACTATGAAGAAAATCAATCCTCTCAGCTGAAACCAGGACACTGATTTTGCTTTAAGCTCAGTGGGAATCACAGCAAAAGAGAATTTTTTTCTGTCTTCTGCATCCTTTCACTATTGTTACCAGGTAGAAAGGATGACAAGAAAAAAAAGCATGAAATAGGAGAAAAACATATCAAGAAACACTGTTTGGGGAGGAGCAAATTTGAGAATTAAGAGGATAATATGAAGAAAGGAAGCAGGTCTTTTGGCTTGAGTAAATCATAGAGATTGATGGCATGGAAGTTCTTTGTATATCCAGGAAGGAAAACAGATCAAGAGTTGGAAGATGGATGCACAGTCAGCAGAAGAGGAAAGCAGAGAAAGGAAGTGATATGTGCTGGCACAGCATTGGGGAATGGAAAACAGAAGGCAGGGTTTAATATAAATGGAGGAGACAGTTAAGCACCTAAATGATAGGTTAGCACAGGGAAAGCCGCTGTGCAGTATGGGAGAATCCTGTGATGGGAGTAGAACAGTTCATAAGGGTGTTTGTGATCAGCATATGCTGTGGGAGAGGAAAAGTTGGGAAATGGAAATAACTGAATATATAATGGGGGATAGCTAGAAGAAGACAGAAACAAGAATACGAACGGGAAGAGTGTGAGAGCGCACAGGAATATATTAATTAGATAAAGGTAGCGTTTAGAACAATTATCAATTTTGTATCACCTGCAAAATTGCTGAGACTCTGTCCTGTCATTAATAAAGATATTAAACAGTATTGGCCCCAGTATCAACCCTTGGGATACACCCTTAGTGACTGGAATGCCACCAGTGACTGAGTGACTGTCTATTTTCATGAAAAGTACTGTAGGGCAAGTCACCTAAACTGAATTTCACTGTTGACCATTAACTGTGTGTTCCTGATTTATTGATTGCTTACCTTGGAATACTTGGCACCATACAAGTGCCAAATGTTCAAACAGTAACAGATATCAGCTGCTACGTACACCGTATTTTATGCTGTAAGCTCAGGGTGTATGTGTCTCAGGCTGGGCTTCCCAAATTCATCAGTCATTTTAGCTGTGAGAATGGTAATGCATTGGCTGGAATATATTAACTTTGGCAAGTCAATAACTTGTGCAGTATGTGTAGATGTTATTCAGTAAATAAATCTATATACTGAATAACAAGAAAAAACAAATACTGTATAGCTATCAGTTCGATGAATGTGGCATACATACCCTACTCAGAGAATGATACAGCGTTTCTGTGTGACTAAAGTTTTCACCATAATGCCTGTGTTCAGAGAAAATAAATTACACTTAAGCAACTTAACTTTTGAAGTTTTGCCATTGCAAATTTGATCTCTTTTTAACTGCAAATGTGTGAATGTGTGGAAGGTAGAGGATTCAGCAAGAAAAGTATCCCGTGGCCTGATGGCATACTGTAGTGAACTGAATAGATTAAAATTAAGGGGTTTGGTGGTAGCATTATAAAATCTGAAAAGAAATGGAGAAGAGATCTATTCTACTGGTTTTCTCACATTCTATATGAGCTGCATCTCTAGACTCCTACAAGTGTGTATTCACTAATATCTTCTGAATGGATACTAGAAAACTATCGAGTCCTGTTGGGAATCGCATGTTTTTTCCAGCAAGTGCACCAAGTAACTTCCATTCTGCATACTGTCATAAGCAAATTTTTCACATCAGCCCATTTTTCCTCTGTTGCAGCCCTTTGGAGGCAACTTGTATACTGTATCAGCAGAAGTATAATTTGTCCTGAATTCATAACTAGTTTCTGTCTTAGGGCATTAGATAATGACTAAATATGATATCATGCATGGTGGAATTGCTATAGGGTGCTTGAGCAGAATAGCATATGTCCCTTTTCCAAATAGAAAAACCTGTCTCCCTTTTGCCACCCATTTTTGGCTGCCTTCCATTGTAAGAAATGATAACGTGCATCTCTTTTTACAGGTTCATGAAAGTTTCTTGATGTTTGTTACATATTTCAAAATATATTTAAGTACTATAATCATGTTCATATGTTGTCCTTTATGTGTTTAAAATAAAAACAAAAATGATATGTTTGTGTGGTTATCTGCAAATTTCCTTTTAAATGATTGAGAAATAATTCTGTACATGTTTCAGAAATTTAGTTTACTATAATTAATGATATTTGTCATCATTTCTCAAAGATTTCTCTTCGTTAAAGATATTCCTCTTGATAAGAAATGCTGTGTTAGGAATTTAAATATTACCAAAAATTTTAATCTTTCTGGTTATCTGGAGTCTTAAAACTATTCACTGATATTTATCAGTCTTCTGAAAAATGTAATTGTTTGCATATCTATTAAGATTGGAATTACAGTAAATGAACTTTTGATGAAACATTTATTTTGTTGTTGTAACAAATTAGCCATTTATGGTTATTGATGTGATTTTTAAAATTGTTAAATAGTATTTTCACTTTTCTTTATGTACTGTAAAAAAAAAAATCTGAATTTCACAATATTTTATTCTACTTTTCACATTCCACACTTGTTCATGTTGTTGTATTGTTGTGTCGTCATATAATTAGATAACTTCAGAAATAAAGAGTATTTGACTTTTTTCATCATCATCAAAAGCAAGACTAAGATTTAGAAGCTAAGACTGATGCAATAATGAGCTATGTTGATAGTTTAGTAGGTGAAATGCCTACTATATAAAAGCACTGTTATTAAAAAAAATTACTAAGTTCATTTTGTTTCATACTTATTTTTAGAAATTTATTTCTAAACACATGAATAAATGATTGCTTCTGTGTTGTAGGTTGTAACCTACTTGGCGGGTTGTGGCCTGCAGAGTTGTCCGGTATTGCTGGCTAAAGGATATCCAGACATTGGATGGAATCCAATAGAGGGTGAACGTTACCTGTCGTTCTTAAGATTTGCAGTTTTTGTTAACAGTAAGTGTAATTTCTTGGCATCCAAATTCCATCATCAGGTTTCCTTAAAACTACTTTTCTAACCATAAAAATGTGTTAATGCATGAAGAAAGGTTAATGCATACTGTTCTCATTAGAAATACAAGATTATTAGTATACGCTGCTACCTGTTAAGGTAGCAAATGATGTTTAGGAATTCTTTCAGTAAGTAAACTGTGGTATTTACATATACCACATATGCTGGTTATAAACATAACCAGTAAGCACTTACTTTAGACCTTTCATGGCCACTATACCACTGGGAATTTAAAGGTTTGTAATTAAGGCATTTTGCATTACAAAAAACAAATTTCCAATAGGTCACATTTACATAGTTCTGAGGGAACATTTTGTAAAACACCCTGACCGGATACCTTAAATTTGATATGTTAAAAAAAGAAAAAAATCTTCTCCTTTGATAACTATCTTATACTTGTTTCTATGAGCAATTTCCTTCTGAAATTTATGAAACAAATATGCTAAAATCAAATTTAGATTATCTGAATGTCATCAAAAAAAAGGCATCCTCCAGTTCATGTGGATTTTTTTTTCATCCAACCAGTAATTTAGATTAGACATTAGATGAGATCAAAAGATTTGTCTGTTCGCCACCTATCTGGTCTGCCAAGATGGAAAGTGTTTTAGAGGACAGCTAGGGACAGCCAGAAGGGAAATAATTTTAGATAGTCTAATTTTTAGATTTTGTCTATTCTATTCACATACTGTTGGTCTGAAATTAGTAAAAAAATACCTGAAACAGAGACACTAAATGTATTTACTGTTCAGTTCAGTAAACATACCTGACACTCATTTGTTGATAAGCCTGTAGCTATCAAGCGAGCTGCTAAACTAACTTGACAAACTCCTGTGATATAAGAATTGTAGAAGTAGTCGTCACTGAGGTTAAAAAAGTGTGTGGGTTTTGTTGTTGATTTTATAAATAAGTATTAACAGTACTCTGTATAATTAGATGAAGATAATTTCGATCTTACTTGCAATAGTTTATTTAGTATGAAGACTAACTTTGCTGGATGGACTGCTAGCTAGTAGAATTAATTTTTAATTTCAAGTGTTTCAGCTGCTTCTTTCTGAATAAAACAGTTATGATTGGGGTTTCAAACCTTCTTATTATGGTAGTTTTGGAGTTGGCACTTTAGAAAATCAGATTACTAATTTCTCTGTGTCCTATGCTTGAGAGAACAATTACAAATATAGCTTAATAAAATATTGGGGTTGTTGAGATAAAAGTAACATACACACACACTTATAAACAAATGAACAAATTTTTATTCTAGCCAATGAATCTTTGGAATAAGCAAAACTTCTTTCTTCAAGCAAAATTCTTCATTAACTTGGCCTGTGAGGTAAATTAGAGCAGACTGCAAGATATTAAAGCTATTTTCAGCAGTTTGGTATCCCATCAGAAGGGATATGGAAAAGAAATATATACAGAAAAGGTCAGAATAAGATTCTAGTGGCAAATGCATGTACAAGAAATTATAAATTGAAAATATAGACTAATTAATTCTTGATAAACTTTTATTGACTTCCATAGAGCAATGTTAAAGGTTAATTTGACCTCTGGGCTTAAAGCAAGTTTCATTCCTGCACATTCTAAATTAAAACTATCTGCAAGTGGTTTTTGCTGATACCCACTTGCTTTTACTCTAAATTGCACTCCTCACAAAGCTATCACTAGTGTGTTGAAAACTGCCTGAATTAAGATAAATTTTTAATATCTAGATCTAAATTGTATTGGAAACGAGCGTCTGAAAACAATATTGGTAGTGCTTTTATTAAACTAAATATTAATTACATTTTATAATTTTATTTCTATTTGCTATTTTATTCTGCAATATGGATTCAAACAGCCCCCTACAGTTTTTAAGGGGGCTTTGTATTTGCCTCCTCAAAAGATACATGAAACTTGCAAGAATTCAGGATCATCTGGTAACTGTAGATGAATGTACATGTTTCGATGATCATTTGTATGTCTAGAGAGGTATGTAGTGAATTTTTTTTATGTTAGATTTTACTTAATTCATTATTTTTAAAATCTTCACTTAGAAGGTTTTAACCAAATGGAACTAAAATTGTTGACTTTAAGATTTAAAATCCTGCCTTTGCCCTGCAGTATGACAATAAGATGAATGAAAAGGAGAAGGAAAGAAAGAGAAAGAAAGAAAAAGAAAGAAAGAAAGAATCTATGCAAAGTCAGTAGTTGGGGCATAGAATCATAGAATCATGTAGGTTGGAAAAGACCTTTAAGATCATCAAGTCCAACTATTAACCTAACACTGCCAAGTCCACCACTAAGCCATGTTCCGAAGCACCACATCTACGTGTGACTCAACCACTTCCCTGGGCAGCCTGTTCCAGTGCTTGACAACCCTTTTGGTGAAGATATTTTTCCTAATATCCAATCTAAACCTCCCCTGGTGCAACTTGATGCTGTTTTATCTCATCCTATGTTCCATATCAAGATCGTACTGGAGTTTTAAGTGGGAAAAATACAAGATTGAAATGTGTAAAGTGTTCAGCTGCTCCTCCTAGAGCCAGTCAGTCCCAGTTATCTCACCTACCGTTGCCTTCCGTTGACTCTGACTTCCCAGTAGCATCACTGCTGCTCTCAGCAAAACCACACTTTCTAATCCTACTTTTCGTGGCTGCTAAAGCTGAAAAATTCAGTTTAATATAAACTTGCTATTTGTGGTTTTGTACTGGTTTAGTATTCTAGCTTGCATGATCCAAGCCACCGACATCACAAGTTCAGTGACTGAACTGTTTCTTTTCCTGTAATTTGTTTTCTTCCTACATGCCCCATTAATTTCATCTCTTCCTACAGATTATCAGTATTCTTATAAGGTAGCCACTGTGAATTTCTAAACAGTTGCATTTAACCATTAGCTGAGATTCTGACCCAATTATTATTCCTATCATGCCACTGACTGCAGTCCAAAAAGCAGTTAGTTACATACAAAGAGTTCATTTATATGAAGGTTCCTTTTCCTGATGACTTTTATTCAGCAAGCATCTAGATCACAACCTATCTACCTGTACTGAATTTATACAATAATTAAACCCACTTTTTTCCCTTTTCAAATATACATATATTTTTCCACACAAAGCTGTTATAAATTGAGTTGTTTCAGGCAAGCCATGATCTTTAAAACTGATTTGAATGTGATTTTTGTATATAGAAAAACTAAATATTCAATTTCAGGCTTTAAATAGCAAGCAGCAGATTTAACAAATATTAAAATATGCAGTAGAAAGAATCAGGAGATTTTATTCTATATATATTTAACCTAAAATACAATTTGTTATTCTTTGGTCGTACTGAGATTAAACTCTGAGATGAGTTTTCCACTGATGAAGTACTATGGGCATCATGTTAAACAGCATTCCTTGCTTCAGGTGCCCCATTAAAAATCAAATAACTCTCATGCTCTGTACTAGATCTGGCTGGGATGGAATTAACTTTCTTCATAGCAACCCATAAAGTGCTGTGCTTTTCGTTTAAGGCTACAACAGTATTGATAACATATCAATGTTTTGACTGTTGCTGAGCAGTGCTTGTGCAGCATGAAGGCTTTCTCATTTTTTCCCCACACAGCCCCTTTCCCTTCTTCCCCAGCCCCAGTGAGTAGGTTGAGGGTGGGCAAGAGATTGGGAGGGGACACAGCTGGGACAGCTGACCCCAACTGACTAAAGGGATATTCCATACCATGATGTGTTCAGCAGTAAAAGCTCAGGGAAAGGGGGAGGAAGAAGGGGACATTTTGTGGTTATGGTGCTTGTCTTCCCAAACAACCATTACATGTGTTGATGCCCTGCTTTCTAGGAGCATCTGCCTGGGAAGCAGTGAATGAATTTGTCCTTTTGCTTTGCTTGCATGCATAGCTTTTGCTTTCTCTACTAGGCAGTTGTTATCTCAATCCATGGGCTGTCACACCTTCCTTCTGTTTTCTCCCTGTCCTGCAGAAGAGGGGACAGAGCAGGAGGTCGAAGTGTGTATGTGTGTGGCGGTTGGCTGGAGTTGGCTGGAGTCAAAACTTCCTTCCTCCTCTTCCCAATAGCAGACTTCTTGGGACTATTAGCCTTTGTACCAGATGATAGAGTAATTTTTGCCATAAAAAGCAAATTAACCAAGATTTCTAGATTGAGTGTAGTAAAGCCTTTGCAAGGCAAGTCTACACTGTTACTTTTAAACCTTGGTTTATTTTTGATAAAACACATCCAACGCTGCCAACTTGATGCATTTTTGTTTTCAAAAAGAAGGATGAGGATTTGATTTATATTTTATAAAATTTAGGGTAAATTTTCTTGTCGTCTGACTTAAGGATACCTTTCAGGAGAAAGTATGTATAGTTCTAAGATCTCTTTTTGGTCCTCAGGTGAAAGTGTTGAGGAAAACGCAAGCGTTGTTGTCAAGCTCCTTATTCGACGGCCAGAGTGCTTTGGACCAGACCTTAGGGGAGAGGGAGGAAATGGTTTGCTGGCAGCTATGCAAGAAGCTATCAGGATCTCAGAGAATCCTACTCGTGACCTTCCCTCCCAGGCATATAAAAGAGAAGGGTAAGTAAATGTGAATGCTTATTTGGCAAATGATGATTTAATAGCTGGTTTAATCATGCTTGCAATATGTGGATAATAGGTCCTGGTGTGTAAAGCATTATACAGGCATAGAGCATTAGAGATTCACACCCACAAGCAATTGTCGTATGGAATTCATAAAGCATGAGCTAGATAAAAGTCAAGTAAGAGTTACAGAACAGAAGAAGCCTGAAGGACAAAATAAAGAAGGCTGCTGTGGAATGAAGCTAAAGGTAAAGAGGAAGATAGAAGGCTTGTATGAAGTCAGTTGTTACTGTTCAATTACATGCTTACTCTAGGGATAAAAACTCTGTAATCCAGAGCCAGAGGAAATTACTATATCTGATTAATAGTTTCTGGATCAGGGATCTAGCTCCGGAAAGGAGCTATAAACTTACATTAGCAAAAATGCTCACTGGTATTGTTTACCTTTTAGTGATGATGATGACACAGAGGAGGAGATTGTGCACATGGGCAATGCAATCATGTCATTTTACTCAGCTCTCATAGATTTACTTGGACGCTGTGCACCAGAAATGCATGTAAGTTCATTTTGTCACTTGCTCAGAAAATGTAGATTTGCAAACAGAACTGTACATGTCTAACTAAAGCGTTCTCTATTCAAAGGCTTCTTCCCTTCAGAAGGGGGACTTTATTACATTTCTCGCTGTATCTAGACAGATGTGTTCCCTGCAAGCAGTTTATAAAGAATTGTGGCCTTTTGATTCCTTATGCTTTTTTATTTATCTAAGATTTTGAGAATTTTTATATGACTCTGGAATCAAAGCAAAGATGAACTACTAGTGTTGCGCATTTATACTATCAATGCAATAAATTTCTGAAACTGGCCCTTTACTAGAAAGCCATAAAATTCATTTTCATAAGAAAGTGATACAGTGCTGCTTTTGTGTGCACTGACAAAATATGGTATCTACACCACATGAATACATGGAAAAATATGTAAAATAACTGTTTTGCCTGTAATGCACGTAACAGCCACATGCAAGACCTGGTTTTAGTTAGACTGACTTTTGCTTGCCAGTATTTAAAGTTCTGTAGTAGCATAAATCCAGCTGAAAATGCAGTATGTATCTCAATACAACAAGAAGAAAGAAATTTGGCTTGTAGCCTCCCTACGTACTAGTACCAAAGCTATTAAATCTATTAGCTATAAAGCTGCATGTAGCTGTTGCCAGAGATAGTAGTTTCATGTTAAGAAAATGACTGGAAGAGCTTTTCAGGGACATCGGTTGTGAGTACCTAATTTCTGCTAGAAGTTGAAAGGAATTGGTCACCTTGTTGTTAATGCCTTTTGAAATATTTACCGCATAGAAATAATAGAAAATGTGTAGATGCATCAGACAGGTTTGCATCTGTTCATAGCATTAAGAGACAAACTCAAAACCTGGCACCGTAGGTTCTGTAACATGAGTCTTTCAGAAATTTTCAGTTTCATCACTTTATCTGATTGGTTTAGGAATCGTATGCATGTGGAGGTTTTTTGTGTTATTGAGAATTTATAATATTGTGAAATTATTGATATGATATCAAAATTAGGGCAGAATAAAAGTAGAATCAGCTGAAAATCAGCAACTCCATTAGAGTGCTGGGATAAATTGAATTTCTGTGCATTTTTTTCCAATGTTAGAAAAAAAATCATATTAATATCAGTATTTTGAGGAAATTTTTCTTATGTCCCTCAGTACTAAATTTATTAATTGGTTAAACTTTTTCTAACAGCTTATTCAAAGTGGAAAAGGGGAAGCTATTCGAATCAGGTCAATCCTTCGATCTCTAGTGCCAACTGAAGATTTGGTTGGGATTATAAGTATACCACTAAAGCTGTCAACAGTTAACAAAGGTAACTTCAATACTTTTATAAAACCAGTTAATCTTTTTATAAAAATCTTGTGGCACATAAGCCTTAGAGTTGAGTACAAGCAGAGAACTGTTTTTCAGATTTTAGACACATGTCAATTAGAGCTGCTCCAGTAGAACAGTTAACATTGCTCCACAGGAGCAAGTAACATAAGAAGTACTTCCCAGGATCACACCAATGGGCTGTCCATCCCCAGTACTTGGTCTCCAGTACTGGCTGTAAAGGTGCTATCTCTTTTGGTAGAATGTGTAATCTTGAACTCAGTCCCTTAGCACTTCCACATCATCCAGTTATTTGTTTAGAGAGATTAGCATGTACCTCCCTGCCCGTTAATATGTTTCTGGACCCGGTGCTGAAGAATGTATCTAATCCCTTTGGAATAATGTCTGTACCCACAAACTACTGCAGCAATAAGTTCCAGAATTTCACTATTTGGTACGTAAAGAAGCATTTTAAGCATTTTTTTTCTTTTTAATTTATACTCTACTAGTTTTAATTAACACCCTTGAATAGTAGTATTTTGGGATTTGGTGTATAGCAGACCTTCATTTACCTTGTCAGCTACATTAATAATTTTCTAAATCTCGGTTATATCCTTTCTCAGTCCTCATTTTGCCAAATTGAAGAATCTGAACTTTTCTTAGTCTCTCATCATAACTGCTCCGTTGCCTGAATCATTTTAGTTGCCCTTCTGTGTACCTTTACTATCTCTATTCTGCAATCCTGAGATGTAGAAAACAGCTGTAGGATGTACACAAGATGTGAGCAGGTTGTACTGATAATGTAGGCACACAAACTATTGTTATGTATTAATTTTCTGTTTTATATAGCAGCAAAATGATGCCCTCCCTCATATTCTAAATACCCCTTTCTGATGGTGCCCAATATCTTGTTGACTTATTTGGTCACTGCTACACATTGCGCTGACAGTTTCACAGAATTTCAGTGATGACCTCAGGATCTCTTTGTAATGTCATTTCCAAGCTCAGCATCATATAGGCATGTCTTACTATTCTGCAGATGCCTTAGCTTAGAGTTATTTGCACTGAAGTGCAGCTGTATCTACTTTACCCACTCAGTTTCATTAATGATTTAACCATACAGAATAACTTAGTGTTGTATACAGCCTTTTAGTCTCCTTTGTTTGCTTCCTTCTCCAGGTCACTGATGACTCACTATACAGTCCTGTTAGTCCTTGCTTGATTAAAATATTGCACACACACATTGCATTTTAATTGCCTTTCCTGTTTCTTGGAACTGTGCTGTTTATTTCTTCCCTGGCCTTTTCAGAGGAAGTGAAACCCAGACATATTCACTTTGAGATTGTCCTGATCTGAAGAAAATCCCCCTCCACACCTATTGCCTTTTCCCCAATTTCTAGATATAATGTTCCACTCTGACCTCAATGTTCAATCCTAGAAGCCTGATTTCTTTTTTATTAAGGCGCAGACTGTTTCTGTACAATCTAACTAAATTCCTTTTCTCTACACCACTACTGCACCCACCCTTTGAGACTCGAGATCTTTGCCTGCCTCCCACAAGGTCCTCCCATAAGGTATAGGCAAGTTATCACGGAATCCTCTCATGCAAGGCATTTGACACTGTCCCGCAC